GGGGGAGTCAAATTTTCATGGGGGAGTCAGATTTTCATTATGTGCTCATTTTTAATTTTCTTATTTTTTCATCAAAATTTTCACTGCAAACTACAAAAAATGTGCCAACATATCATCCATTTTACATACTACAAGATCACAGTCATATAGTCAAAATAAAATAAGTTTTATGAAGTTTTATGATGGGGGAGTCAAATTTTCACGGGGGGAGTCAGATTTTCATGGGAGTCAGATTTTCATGTTACACCGGGTTAGGCTTTACTGTATTGCTGATGTGGGTTATATACGACATCAAGATCGAGCTGACAATACCGAAATCTTGAACCTAGGGTAAATGGGTAACTGAAGAATATATATTACACTTAATACATTAGGTGACGCGAAGAAAATTTGAATGCTATTTTTGGTACATATGGCATGTTGTCAAATTAGATTAATCGTAGTTAAATAAAAGGCGGGACAGCAAAACAGATTTGTCTAAAAGTAGGAACATCTTTACTTTTTTGGGTGAGTGTTTTAAGCAATTACAAAGAGAACCCTTTATATTCAACAAACACAATACAATACAACAAAAGCTTATACGTACAGTAAGTTTACCATTCAAACATATGTACGCTAAAAAAGTTTGAGTGCTATTTTTGGCACATGGCATATTGCCAAACTAGGTAAATAGAGTTACCAGGGTGACATCAAATATGGGGCAGCAAAAACAGAACCAGAACACATTTTTATAGGATGCATGGCACTGTTTTTATGAAGAAAAAAAAACAAATTGTTTTTTAAGTAGAAGAAACGAAAGACCGCCTGTTTATATTTGTTTGTTTAACCTGTAGGATTTGACGAGGTCTACCTGTGCGAGTAGGTGCCGTTAAAGGTCTTCGCCATTTTTTATCGTTTGCACCTGTGGTTACGCCGTTTTGGGATACGACGAAGACGGCTTTGAAGTTAACTGTAAGCAATCTGGGATCGAGAGATAATAGTAGGGCGTTTGCAGAGTCTTAAGGGAAGACACGGATAAATTTGAAACTGTTAAACATGGTAAGATATTGAAATTCGTAAAACATCAAATTTATAAACAATGTCAACCGTTCGTAAATGATTAACTACATAATCACAAGGTGTTATGTACATGTAGGAGAAGAAAATGGGGTTTTGTCGATAGTCGATAAAAGCACTAAAACATTCCATAGAGATGGCCTCTTTTATAAAGAAACTGAATAGAAACTTTCTACGGGCGTTGGAATTAATTTAATAAGTACATGTACAGGGGCTTATCCAGGATAAAATGAAGGGTGCGGGGGGGGAGGAGGTCCAGAACGACATGCATCGAATGCAAAGCCAACCATCACCCTCTTCAGGTCCGGGGCCACGAAATATTTTTAGTGTTTTAGAGTGCAAACGGTGTCCCTTGGTGCGGTTAAAAACTATGATTCAGCTAGTCATAGTTCTAATATCAAGAGGGGAATATTGATGTGGTATATTTTTCAGAAACGGAAGGGGGGGGGGGGGTCAGGAGACCCCGACTCCCCCCCTCTAAATCCGCCACTGATGTGTCCATTTCAATGTCCACGCATGAATAGTGATTTCGTACCTGTGCAACATTAATAATTGATTCTAATGTACATTGTAACTGTATTGTCAGCTGTAGAATTGATTATATATCTTTGTAGGCTCTCAATTCGCTTGCTAAGCTGATGGAAATGATAGAATCCCATTCTACCAAGCTACAATTCCCCTCCACGGGAAATTTCAAGTATAACTACGTCAGAAAAAGACTTTTTGCTATATTTCAAGAGACGCATATTAGGAAACTGCGTGGCATGCTCTCGTGGACCAAGTCTGACACCGTTGAGGTGGTTGTCTTTGGAGAACATGCTGCTGGACTGGCTTCTCAAATCGAATCAGAGGGATTCAAAATCGTAAAAGCGTTAAAACCAGAAAAAGACATACCACGACTGTTCATTTTTGCACCAGAAATATTTCCCACAAAAGAGGTAGGTTTGTGTTTGAAAATATTCCTGGTACTTAAATAAAAAAAATATTCAGCAACTTTAATTTGCATTTAAATCTTCCTGGCTTCAAGCCACATTAAAAGAGTGACTTTCCTTTCAAACTATTAAAAGTTTTATCAAATATAAAAGGTTGTTTCCTGAATTTCTTTGGTTTTTTAAATTTTTTGATGATACTATTTTCCAGGACGTAGAACTTTTACAACTGGTGTTGAATCAGACAAATAATGAAGCATGCTCTTTGGTGGCTGTTGCATTGACTACGGATGTTATCAGTCGGAAAGGGCGCCTGGTAACAAAAGAAGATATTGTCAAAGAGATTTTACTGGAATGGCCCGCTGGTCATGTTATACTGACAAAAGCACTGGATGCTATATCCAGTGATATTTTGTTTTGGAATAACGAAAGAGATATTACAGAAAAGGTGTTTCTTTACATGATGGAAGCTGTAGACAACGCCATGACGGACTTCTTGAAAGTTGTTCAAAATTTGATTGCTGGCTTGGAATATGTGTTGGAAGAAAAGTGCAATCTAGAGTCTAAAATACAGCAATATTTACATTCAAATCGCGAGAAAATAGACCAATGTGCAACCACACTTGTTCTGAAGGATCACCGCGGCGGATTAATTCATAGAAGAAGGTCGTACTTTGTTCAAAACAAGGAAACGCTCGCTAACTTTACAATGCAGATAACAAAGAAACTCACTGAAATGATGGGCATAGATTTGATTCATCTTTCCGGTGAAAGTCAATGCGGGGCAGAGGCTAAGCTCAATATGGAAAAAGTCATGGCTTCATTCATGAAACATATACCGAAACCTGGTCCTTGGCTCTATCCAAGTTTGCCACAGCCTGTGTATGTAAATGGGGAAAGCTTCCGAAAAATGGTCGCACTGGACTTTCACAATGACGTCACAAAACAGAGCGACAACATCACACGAACATTGCTTTCTTTCATTTACCAGTCGGACCCCGATGATGACGATGACAGACCAAAAGCTGAAGACTTTGAAAAACTCAGAATTTTGCATCTAGAAATGAATAAACTAACCTCGAAGATAAAAATATACAGAAACCCACACGCTGCATCTCTGCGTCAAGTCCCGATTATTCCAGATCCGGTGAAGGCAGAGTTACACAAGTAAGTACATAAAAAGAAAATTAAATTAAATTAACATACATTCAGGAGCTGAATCATTTATAAGAAACATACATGTTACTATTGGGATTTGTGTCCATAATTTTTTTAGAGGTTAAGTGTAAAATTTTACAAGCACTATAGGACAAGGTCGTTTATATTAACACGCTAGTAGAACTGAATCCTGTTCTTGATATTGTTCAATTTTATTTCACAGAAAGCCCTTCATTAGAGCGTTTGGCATCATCTTTGGCAAGCTCCACATCTTCGTTCAAGCGGATCTATGGCGCCAAGAAGAAGAAAAACGTCTCATAAAAAGCGAAATTGAACGTATTGTATCCGATGATGAATTCTGCCAATACTTCTGTATTGTGGAGTGGTCTCCAAATTCAAAGATCACTCCCTATGGTTTTGGCGTGGGATCGATGCTGTCCATGAGGCAAGATAGAAATCCCCCGTTCGGTACACTGGGGTGTTTCGCGTTTGTTGACGGGGTGGTCCGAGAGGTTTATGCTCTCACTTGTGAACACGTGGCTAGAAAGTGCAAGTTTGTTGAGAACGAAAACGGTTTTCTTCAAGTAGGCCAGATTGCATATTCGAAACCAGCCCAATCGGTAGTCTCGCAAGTGGACATACCTCCCTCAGATCTGGTCGACATTGCCTTCATTCGATTAAGTGCTGAGGCAAGAAGAGCGTATGAAGGGGTTTTCATGGTACGTGGTGAACCACACGATTGCAGGTTGTTTACGGATGGTTTGGAATCTCTCCATGGCGAAAGAGTTCACAAAAATGGCGCGGCTACTGGATATACCGAGGGGATCGTTGTTGGTACTCTTCACATGAATGGTATGTTTCAACGCTTTTCCAACCTTCTGTTGGTGAAATCAGTGGGCAACAAGCCTTTCTCGCTGGATGGCGACAGTGGTAGTGTGGTCGTTATGAAGTCGGATTGTGCCCCGAACTCCTTGTTGGCAGTTTCGATGATCTATGGTGGACTGGATATAAGGGATGGGCCAATGACGAAAGAATCTAAAGTTTCAGTAACATTTGGCCTGTGTAAAGCTATAACGGACGCCGAGTTCCAACTTCAAAGACGTTTTCGGCTTCAGCCAAGCCCATAACCTGCTGCAAAAAACATTTCATCTTCCGCAAGTTTGTAAAGTCATTGCCATTTGGGCATTTTCTTGAACATCAATGATACCGACTTTTTAGTTGACATTTTATTTTTGTCTGTGACACACGTCAAAATAAATGTTTTTAAGTAAAGGGGGTCATACATATGTCTCGATTCATTTGTATGTATATGTTGAGTAGAATGTATGTACAGAACACGTTTTTAAGTTTACGTCCTATTTGATACGTCAAAAGTAAGTGAAAAAATGACAAAACTCTACGCACTAAAACATTTTCAGATTGATTGTAAGCTATTCGGTGATGGTTCTTTAATAATAAAATTTTACTTCCAAAGAAATGGCAATATTATTAATCAAGCAACAAATTTTATCCTGAACACTACATAAGTTTTTTTCAGACCACCACAGAGACTATTTAATTCTTAGTCAGACATCAGCCCAATGTCAGACCGGTTAAATAAATGTGATATAACTCTAAATAAATATCCTAAAATCGGCGGAAAACAACTTTACAGACATAACCTGCTGTGGACTGGTTTTAACTTGCAGGGTGAACGCGGTAGATGCTCGGAATCAAAACTACACTTGCTGAACTTTACACATTAAGTTCCCATCAGCAACATGGCTAGGTCGTGACAACCTTTTATAAGCATGGAACGTGTAAATGGCATAATAATAATAATAATAATAATAATAATAATAATAATAATAATAATAATATCCAATTAATTGTTAAAGTTGGTCCAAGGAAGATTTCATAGTGCCATTCACGTGTAACCTTGCATTTTACTATTAATGAAAAGTTTTTCTGTTTTTAGAGTTCATACACATTGCCATTTCCAACACTGAAGTAAACTCAGTAAATCTGGGTCAGCATTCTGACTACGGCATCACGGCCTCCTAAAATCGCTGACCACACCCATCGCAGCTGATGTGGTATTACTGGGTCTGCTGGCATAACTTGATTTTTTTTTTTTTTTTGCTCTCTTTTTTTTAAATTTTAGTAACTCTGGCCTCTGTCCTAAACTACCTCTTCTCGTCCTCATAATCACCAGCGAGAGGATTTACAGTATATTCCTTCACAGTTTGCCAGCCGGTGTAACGTGACAGAGAGTCCCCCATAACAGGGAGTTCGCCTCCCATTCATTTGTACAGGTGAGCCTCGCCCTAGATTTTGACCCACTAAGGTCAGACTAACCCTAACCATTATAACTATATGGAGGGCGGACTTTCTGTTACACGGACCCTCGGTTTTGTTACACCGGCAACTGACGTGTCAGTGATTCTGATAAGTTTATTTCTCTTGACAAGACTCTTCTCATTTCCGAGATGAATTTTTGTCGATTTTCAGTTTTTTACAGTCACTGGCTTCGGCATTAAATGTAGAGAGTCTATCGTTTAAATAGTCTTTCAGCTCTTTCTTTTGACGTTCCAATTTTTTCATTACATCAGCCAAGATAAAATTTTCGCCTCACTAGACTCATCATCCATGTCGTCTACGGAGTCGTAATCATGAGCGTGCTAACAGTACCGTGTCAATCGCTTGAATGACACGAGAACTCCTCTACAACAATCACGCCCTCTACTGGCCTGTCATAACCAGAGAGAAATTAATGTCACTCTAATTCCTCTCGTCATCCGATTGAAATCACATTTATAACATCACATGATAAACATCGGGTTGCCTAATCAATCCTCACGTGCGTAAGTAAAGGGTAGAGTAAGTAAGTAAGTAAAGGGATCGAGATAAGGAGTAGAATTTTACAAACTAATAAAAAGCACTGTTGCTAAGAAGAACAAAATGGAAAGTACATGGATGTTTGCTGTTCTCTGTTTGTTTAAAAAGGAATGAACTTGTTGTAAGAAAAAAACTCTGGATTTAAGAACCCTCGCTCTTTTTGCGTTACACATATTTGAGTCTTTGATATTCAATACTGGGAGTATGCAATAACAATTGAAATATAATGCAACTTTCATCTTATCTGAAATGTAGTATATTACACATAGCATATTTCAGAGAAAGATTGATAAAATACCATTCTGTTAGATAAGTGCTAGGGAAGTTCTAACATAAAAGTAAGTGACATATTCTTTTTTTTATTTTTTAGCTTTGGATCAAACGATCCACAATACACATATTACAAGTACATTATTACAGTAACTACAGTCTCTTACCTTGCCAGCCCCACACAGGGCGACGAGAGACGCTAACAGCTACAGTAAGTGGAGGGGTGCTGATTTGCACCTGATGGCATCACTCAGCTTAAAATTCCCGCCAAAAAGATTCCACAACCCCCCTCCCCCCCCCCCCCCAACCCCACGGACTGCCATGAAGGCTAAAATATAACATCCCGAGGTACAGGTATGTATAAGAACATCGCAATTTTGGGGGACATTTGCATAGCACTGTTGCTAGGAAGAACAAAATGGAAAGTACATTGATGTTTGCTTTTCTCGTTTCGTTTAAGAAATTTGGCAGCCGATCAATATCTCCTTATCAGTTAGAAACATTCGCTATTTTTTTATCGTTTGCGCTTTTGGTTACGCTGTTTTTAGGATTCTTCGGAAGTAAATTGAATACTGTTTCAGTTCAGATCGAGAGACATCAGCGGGGTGTGTGCAGAATCCTACAAAAAGACACGGACAAATTGAGACTGTTAGATATGGTGAGATATTTAATTTTCGTATAGAATTTCGAAGCATAGATTCTACCATGAAAACAGATTTCGATTTCGTTTTGGAATCTTTTCCCACAGTTGTTATTGTCAGTATTTCACCTTTTCCGTAATAGCTGTTTAAAGACGGTTTGTACTAGCCCACAGTTAATAAATTGATGATAAAATGGAGAGTGACTCCTGTCCAGAACATAGTACTGCTGATGAAAGCAATGCAATATAAGATACATATGTTCAATGTTCAAACATATTTAAACGAAACAACAAGAGCAGTTGAAGATTTTGAATGTGTGTACTAAATAAAAAAGACGAAAAACCGACATTGTAACAGCACTTAAATATTAACTATTTATTAATGGTTATGTTGTAAAATGTCAATATTAGAATTAATCCTATAAATTTATCTTTGTAGGCTCATCGACAATCCCATTCTATCAAACTACAATTCCCAGCCACAGGGAATTTCAAGTATAACTACGTCAGAGAGAGACTTTCTGCTATATATCGAGAGACGCATATTAGCAAACTGCGTGACATTCTCCCTTGGACAGAGTCTGAATTCATTGAGGTGATCGTCCTTGGAGAAAATGCTGATCAACTGGCTACTCAAATGCAGTCAGGGGGATTTGACAGAGTAGATGTTTTAAAGTCAGAGCAAGATGTCAGCCGAGATGTACCACGACTGTACATATTTGCCTCCAAAATGATTCCCGCAAAAGAGGTAGGTTTGCATTTAAAAAGTACCTGTCTGGATTCCAGAGAATTTACCATTACTTAATATGTAAAAGACAAAACTCTCCAGCATGTATCTGCCATTGATTGTATATATGTCAAAGGCCCGGATCAAATCTAGTCCTATGCATAAAAAGCCCAGAGACCCCATGTTTATTACTCCCTGGCTGGGCCCATTCTCTATGGTGTCTTTGCATTGTCGACAGCATAATGGGCAAGTTAAATGACCAAGTTAATTGACCAAGCTGCCGGTTTGTTTGTATGGCATGTGCAGGGGATGTCTTAGATCAAGACACATATTATGATACTTACAGGTGTGGCAAATGAGATATACTTGTATTTCATTCACTGAGAGAAAAAAAAAAGCTTCAACTGATTCTCTCAGAGGCCTCCAGGGTGCTGTATTCCCTTAGAGACTCAATGTTAACCAAAACAGACTCACTCAAGTCCGTTTAAGGAATCCAACCTAACGATTTCATTGTTTCAAGCTAGACTCAAGTTTTGAGTCCATTTAAAGACTCACTTTGGCGGGCTTTGCAAGCTTTGAGTCCTTTTAAAGACTCTTTGGCGGGTTTTTTAGTCACGTGATTGGTGATGACAGATACGTCAGGTACCACGAGGAAGCCTTCACACACGTTTGTTGTTTTGGTAAGTAAAACTTTTAAGTATTTAACGGTTTTAGACTTAGTTTTTTTTTAATTTCCTAAAGTTTTATGTTATTGAGTGCTTTAGACCATATTGAGACGATCAGTTAAAGACCCATAGCCCTTTTTGGGCCTGTTGCTGTGAGTATTGAATACTGTGACTTTTTCCGTGGCAGTAATCAAAATCTTGGCCAGGGAATATTATTCTCACACATAGGATTTGTTCTGATTAGCTTTAATAAAAAAATCACAAAACCCTGTAAGCTTTTAAAAAATAAATCATGTAGTATTTATCATTTTTGTATCCACTGCTGTGCGGATATGGCAGTAGAAAATCAGGTCATTGTGTTTCTGAAATTGGACCACAGAGGTCAGGCTAAACTTCCGCTTTTGCTGTCGTGTTTATCTGTCATTATGTTACAGTCTTGTTTTAAAAGATCAGTTCATGTAAAAAAAGGCTTTCGGTGTTTGATCTGGCTAGCAAGTTAGATATTAAATAACAAACTAGTTAGGAAAAATTACCTTTAATCTTAACATGTTATACCATATCAATTTTTAGAATAATTCATATTTTTATATGTTGAATTTATCTTTAATTAAAATGTTTACTTATTTTCAGTTATTCAATGAATTCACAAGGCTATCGGAGAAGGATATTAAGTCAGCAATGGCCAAAAACTTGGATTTTTATGGACAAGGTCTTGTCAATTTGCCACAGCCCAAAGGAAAAGGAGCTTCCATGAGGGGACTCTCTAGTGAACTGCAAGAGGCTAAAGAAGCTATATGGCGTCTGCACGCTCTGATGTTGACGGAAAGTGTATGTACCATTTAATTTTCAATATTTTTTACAGTTCCTTTTGAAATGCTTCCCTCTAAAAAGACATTGAATTCAATTTCATGGTTTGCATCATTCTGTATTGTCTCAAAATAAAGGCAAAATAATCTTATAAAAATGTCAGGAGTTTCCACAAGCCAGGCTTAGGCTGCTTTCTTCTTCAGTGTGATATGGTTGCGCAGATTGTGGGTCTAATGATGACGTCAAAAAAAATTTGGCAACTTATGCCCGCCCTCATATGGGTTCACAAAACCAGGGGGTTTTAAATCCATATAATTTCCTTTTGGGATAATTGAGATGAAAACCTTGAAATTGAACGCTTTAGTATCCCAATAAAATTATCCTTGGTTGCATTGAACACAATCCTCTACTCATAAAATAATGTAACTGCTATGAGTTATTTTCACTTGCACATTACCTATATATGCAATTACATATTTATTTTTAGATCCTGCACTTAATCATGAAACAATTCTTTCTTGCAACAGTGTAAACCTAGTCAATAAAAGTGAGATTTACAAGAGGTTGATGTTACTCGTTACTTGGCACTTTTTTAATAAATTAAGCTCATTTTTTGTGACCCTACATGTATGCACAATTTCATCTTGTTAATTCTTTTGGATTTAATGTTTATTGCATCCTTTGACAACAGAAAATTTGGTAGAACACATCCAAAGCTAATGTTAGACATTGAAGACTACAGTTAATACATAGTTCACTGCAAATGTAAAGTATATTCATCATTTGCTACATCTCATTAGTAGATGATAATGAGTATATATTTTTTCTTTACATGTAGATGCTACCTGGTGTGCTGGCATTTTGTGTTTGCCGCTTCATTTGAAGGAAGAATGTGGATGCCGGCTTCGAAAATTCAGTTGTCTGGGAGATTCAGTTCAGCCTATATAATTACTTCCAATACTCAGGAGACTTTATGTCAAGAGACAAAATTTTACATCTATCTGAAAATGTGAAAACTGCAACAGTTGATCCATTTGTTGATGCTCCTGGTGGCCACTTATTTGCCTTTAACATGGCATATTCGACCAACCTTTATGGCACCTGACTTTCATAAAGTCCTGATTGGGCATACAAATAAGGTTAAGGTTTTGCCCAAGCTGACTACCTTATTGACAAGAATACATTCATAAACACTATGGAACCATTATTCATTGACAAGTATTCAAACTATTACAGGTTAGCCAATTTACCAGCTCTTTTAAATTCCTTACACTTAATTTTAGCCAATTTGCCAGCTCTTTTAAATTCCTTACACTTTACTGGCATATCTGGTTATAAGGCTGTAATTTTTTAGGAAAAGCTTCTTGAAAAAAAATAGATCTGCCACTGAAGTTCTGAGACACCACTTTGTTCCTCAAAAAAATTGGTGTTCGAGTTTTCAAAAAAATGAGGAATTTAGTTCATGTGACCATGACAAAGACATTGAGTTTTAAGTGGATGGAAAAGTTTGTCTTGACTTCTAGTTTTATAAAGTATAAACTTAAATATGTTGACACTTTTAAGTTAAAACGATATTTTCAAGTAGACTGGTTATAATAAGCCATTCACATTAACTTAAGATGAATACCAGGGTCAGAGTCTTCAAAAGCTTTGTTTCCTTTTTTTGTGAATAATGTTTGTATTGTAAGCAGCAAGATGCTGTATCTATGAATAATCATTTCTTTCATATTATATTTTATATTATCTTTTGTAAGCTGTAAAAAATTACTACACATACTTTTGATTTGAGCATGTTTTTTGGTTGTGTGTTATGGAAATATTTTAAGAAAGCATTTATTTTGTTAACATGTTTCAGTGGCTTAGTGGCTAGATTAGTTAAGAAATTCAACTAAAGGTCATCCCAGATTTTGGGACAACTGGTCGAGTTAAGTTTTCCAAGAAGAGTTCTATGTTCATGACCATTTGTTAATGAAATACATTCATGTTTATCATTTAGAATTTGTTTGTATCTTGATCTAGGTATTGGATTCCATGGCTATTGCATGCTTTTCTAAAAGAGGATTTGTTAACTTGCTGTTTTTAACTGCAAATAGAAATATTAATTAAAAAACATTTAGTTTATTTTTTGCATCACAAAATTTCAAACTATCACTGTTTTGCTTAAAGTGTTTTATCACTTTGCAAAAGGCTGAAAACCTAATTTCAATGAAAAATTCCCCTTTAAAATAGGACCAGATGAGTCTTTAAATGTCTTCACTAGACTAAAATGATTCCCCAAGAAGCCTCATCTGGAGGCTCCGAAAGGACTAAAATTCATAGCTAGAGCCCCTTTAACGAATCTTTCGAGTCCTTTAAAAGACTCAATCGTCTTGAGTCCCTTGATTCCAGTTGAGTCTCTAAGGGACTCTAGCTAGCTGGAGTCCCTTTAACATTAAAGGACTCGGAGAAATCCCCAAAGGGACTTGATTTAGGACCCACCGTGGAGTCCCTAAAAGACTCGGTATGAGTCCTTTTTTGCTGTCAGTGTTACCTGTGATTTGTAAAATACATCAGAGGATGATACTTTTAAAGATGTTTAATGTTTAAAGAAAAGACATGTAGATTGAATGTTAAATTAAAGGTGGGCTTCATTTGTGCCTTGATTTAAGACATCTCCCCTGCACATGCCATACAAACAAACTGGCAGCATGGCCAATTAACTTGGTCAATTGGTTTCATTTTGAGCTCTTTCTAAATGTTAATTAATTTCGTTTTTCTAGGACGTTCAACTTTTACAAGGGATATTGAATCAGGCAGAGCATGAAGTATGCTCTGTGGTGTCCGTCGCATTTACTACAAGTGCCTTTAGTCAGGAGGAGTGTCCTATGGCAAAACAAGATATCGTTGAAAAAATCTTACAAAAAGCCAGTCCGTATTTACCAACTGAAGTATTGAATTCAATATCCGATGACATTCTGTATTGGAATAACGAAATAGATATTACAGAAAAAGTGTTTTTTTACTTGATGGAAGCTGTAGAAAAAGTCATGACAGAATTCATGGAAATTGTTAGAAAAATGATCGCCAGCTTGGAAAAGAATTTGGTAAAATCAAAGAACAATCGAGAGTCCATTTTCCAGTCAGATTCCGATGATGACAATGAACGACCAAATACTAAAGATTTAGAAAAGCTCAAACTTTTGCAATTAGAAATGAATAAACTAAGTTCAAAGGTAAAAATGTACAGAAACCCACATGACTCCTCTCTTCGTGAAACCCCAGTTATTTCCGAGTCTGTTAAGGTAGAGTTACACAAGTAAGTACACATTTATAGATTATGTCATTGTTACTGAGATATATTATAAATTTTACCAGCCCTACAGTTGTAAAAAGCGATAAGGGGATAAAGAAGCAAATCGTTTTACTGACAAAGAGGTCCAAAGCTGTGTAGAAAAAAACGAGCTTTCCTAATTGTTAACGGACAAACATATAGGCCTAATACTGCTTAAATATGCTATGTTTTAAATGAAAAGCACATTTAAAGTTATCAAAAGATATACCAGATGCACGTAAAACATAGAAATCGTTAAGTTCGACAGATGGTAACGTTTTACGAAAATGTCGATATCGTAAACATATCGGATACAGTCTTTGTGAAAATCAAATATGCATTAAGTAGAAGCATTGAAAACATGACAGAAATCCGTTATATGAAGTAATCGCTGATAAAAGGTCGCCTCCTGTGCTTTTTTCTCATTCTTTTTTTTATTTATTTAGGAGATCCTACATCAGAGCGTTTGGTATCATGTTCGGCAAACTCCACATCTACGTAAATGAGGGAACAGATCTAGAACAGCTTGGCATGAAAAACGACATTGAACGTATCGTATCCGGTGATGAATTTTGCAAAGACTTCTGCATTGAGAAGTGCTCTAAAACTTCAAAGATCACCCCCTATGGTTTTGGCGTGGGATCGAAGCTGTTCAAAAAGCCAGATATAAATTCCAAGTTCGGTACGCTGGGGTGTTTAGCGTTTGGTGATGGGAAAGTTGAAGATGTTTTTGCTGTCACTTGTGAGCACGTGGCTAGAAAGTGCAAGTACGTTGAGCTCGAAGGTGGTTTTCTTCCAGTGGGAACGATCGCTTATTCAAAACCAGCCCAATGGGGACCACTTCAAGGAGGGATTCCACCTCCAGAACTGGTAGACATTGCCTTTATTCAATTAGATGCTGCGGCGAAGGGAAAGTATGTGAGGGATTTTATGGTACACGATGAAGCATATGATTGTAAATTGTTTATGGATGATTTGGGGGGTCTCGTAGGTGAAAGAGTCCAAAAAGATGGCGCCGCTACTGGACATACAGAGGGAATAGTTATCGGTATTATTGATATACTAAATAGCTATTCTAACCTTCTGTTGGTGAAATGGGTGGGCGAAAAGCCTCTCTGTCTACCTGGCGACAGTGGTAGTGTTGTCGTTATGAAATCTGACTGTGCCCCGAAATCCTTGTTGGCAGTTTCGATGATCCATGGTAGACTGGATTTAAGGGAAGAGCCAATGTCAAACGAACCTACTGGTACAGTTACATTTGGCCTACGTAGAGCTTTTCATGATGCTGAGTGCGCACTCCAAAAGCGATTTACCCTTCAACCAAACTCATCAGACCTGCTGTTAGCTTCAGTTTGTTGAGTTTTACGGTAAAAGGATAAAATCAGCCTATGTTCGTAAAAGGATGATGCTGGGACTTCTGGGTATGGAAACAGCATCTTGGGACAACGGATTGTTTTTTTAAACAAAAATGACCGACAAAAGCATATCTGTCCATGTAATATGGCATCACTTGACGAAAACGCTTTCTAAAAAATGATTCACTGACATGAGAAAATAGTTTGTGATTTAGAAATATCAATTATTTACATGTAGTGAACTAACGAAACATCTTTTATGGCTGGTTGTTTTAGGTTGCACCCATTTTCAATTAATTTCACCGCTGAAATGTCGTTCGTTTTATACATGTTAACATTAAGCTAGTTAAGACTGATTGAATTGATCGTTAAACTAGCAGTTACGGACACTACAGGTGGCCCATTTTTCCATAACCAATATTGCTGCAAAAACATATTTAGCCTAAAAGAATAGTAGGATACATAACGTAAATACCTAAGACACTCTTATCTCTGTGAAGCTCCCAAGGAGATACCACCCACCCCTATTTTCATGTACTTTTATTACGTACTATAATGTACTATTATAAACGATCACTTCACAGATGTAAATTGTTAGAAATAGTGTTTTTTTATTACAGATACTGTGTGGTATGCGGACTGATCTAACACTCCAGGCGATATTATCCTACACCACCTTTCCAAGAGACATTTTTAACATCAATGGGGTACAAAAAATAATTTGATTCTGCATCAAAACCGACTTCCTATCAGTGATGGATGGCCTGGTTCGGGTGCCTTTGGGATCACTGAACGTAGCATCCTCAGCTAATATCTTATTCCATCAGCAAGAACTGACTTTTGGGTAAACTCCAGGCTTTATCATGAGTGCACACTTGCTCACAACTCCCACCTAGCAAGTGTTTGATGAAGAAACACAATGCTCTAATGATGGAAGGACCATCTTTGAGCCCTGATATTAAACTTACTAATCAACTGTGACATGAATTGGAGTGTGCAATGCAAAGGAGAAGCAACCCCATAAAAACGTGGACCAACTCCCCCACCTTGTTTAAGAAGATTGGGACAATATCACACAAAACAGAATTGTTACCCGTGTTGAAGTCTTGTCGCGCCGTCTACAGGAGATAATTGCAGTACGCATTAGACACACACGCTGGTACCCACGTGACTTTTAACGAGCACATCCTAATGCTAATGTGAATTTGGTGACGTTTGATGACGTCTTTTTAATTTAATAGACATTTCTTTACATCTGTAGAAATCACGGTGAAACAGTGGATTTGAGGGGGTACATCTTATAAATTTTACTACATGGTATAAAATATGTATATTTTCACCACTATTTTGTATTTCTATTTAACCATTAATCATGTTAGACACGGTATCTGTAATAAAAGCACTATTTCTGACAATTTACAGCTGTGAGGTGATCATTTGTAAATAAAAGTACATGGAAATGGGGGTGGGACAACCTTTTTGACCAGTGTTGTATGGTCTATATGAAGGTGTTTACGACATATTATACCCACTGTCGATATTTGGTTTCATCCAGAACAGACTTTTTTTAATTCTTCAATATGCCCCCCCCCCCCTCCCCCCCCAGTTACAGGCACAAATTAGCACAAATTGTATGTCTATAAGCACTATTATTGTCATCGGGGTCAAAGGAAATGACAGGTACATCACGCTTCCAGATTAGATTTTCAATTAATTGTTCCCTCCTCATTGACGAGAGCTTTTGAAAGGACAACAATTGACAAAGGGTCGAGGCATGCAGCATCTATGTCACTGGCTTGAACATTTACCGAGTCTTGCCGACGATGTGGTCGAACAGTCGGAACAAGAAAAAAATTCTGTGGCATGATTTTGACGTATGGACTAAATGTTTGAGCCCAGAAAAATTAATTTTATAATATATTTTTTGGTCGGATTGACTAGGCCCGTCGAAATGCTTGGCACATTACCGTAGATTTAATACTCCAGAGAGAAAAATAACGATGTTTGATTGATGTTTTAATTCAGAGTGCTTATAGCACTTTACAGTTTGTACTGGTACAGTGTTCTGTTATCAAATTTACGATCCCACTTGTTGTTGTCTGGGTGAGGATATAAACATTCTATACAAAAGGTAAAGTTTTGATCTGATAAGCAGGATAATGTTTTCATATGTAAATATACTCTATAGAATTGGGTCAAAAAATTTTCAAGGTTTTTGCATCACAATTTAACGTTTTCTTTGTTATCAGGCTGTCAGGGACCACAATGAAAACATTGTAATTAATATTTTTGACTTCTTCACTTATAGTTTAGTATTACTTCAATGGGTGGACTGTTTAATTTTATTTAACAGTGTTAGAAATTAAGGCTGGACCGTCTGCCCGGGGCAGACAACTTTCAGACCAGGCTGAGAAGTTTTCCCACCTTGCAGACATTCAAGCCAGCTATTTTTCAAGATGGCTGAACTTTCGGTCCAGCAACTACTTTTCCTAAGAGGCAAACACTAGGTGGACATCCTTCTCTGATGAAATTCACAAGTGGAAATCTAACATGTATAAGTAGCTTTGAATAATATTTCACACCTAGCAGTTTAAATTTTAAGGTCTTTTGTTTCAAGCTTGTAATCTGTTAGATCTTGATGGAGTTATTCGGTGTGACCACCAAGAGGTTTATAGGTTATGTGATTGACAATTTAGTTGACAAAGATAAGCATAAAAATCTGTGAACGAAATCTTAAGTGGAGATTGGGTTAAGGCTGAGAAGGGATCTTGCTTGTATTGTGTAACTCTTATTTTAGCAAAATATATTCTGTTGAAATTGCAACATGGAGTCGTTTTATTCTTTTCTGTGTACAGAGCTGAAGGCATGGAACCTGGGAATCTCCCTGGCGTTTTTACAGATTGCGTTCTCCAAAGATAAGAGTCCGCAGTACTCAACCACCCCCAATGGTAAATCTTTCTATACGAGTCTATGTCAGGGCCTATTCTTAAAACAACTTATGACACTGAATATAAAAAAGCATCCTCTGGATTTTTTAATGTTGATCCACGGATGAAGACTGCATAATGACATTCACGTGTAATCATGCATGCACTAAAGGCATTTCACTAGTAATGCAAAGTTTTACAGCAAGAGCAAACTCAGCAGGACTAAGTAAGCTTTCTAACAACTGCATCACGGCCTGATCACATAAACAAATTACATTTGAATATTCTAAAAATAGTTTGTACATAAGCATATATTTACAATTTACAATATAAACACTACTGGGGCAGCTCAACTTTTTTCTCTGTATCGATCAGTCTTTTGTATTGTAAAACAGCCGTTAATGGTAAACAAAATAATCATGCGTAATTCTAATTATAGACAATAACCCAACTGCACTTAAGATTAACACACATTTCTTCCACACTTGAATAAACCAATATATATATACAGCTCACTGAAAGTTACTCCTATAGCTTTATGTCTTAGCCATGTTAGAAAGATCGATCTTACAGTACAGGTGTTATATAATGTCAAAGAGAGAATTTTGCTGTTGATTCTGTCATCGAAGTTGCTAAATAAAAATGAGATTGCTTCTTTTGATTCAAAATGTACCACGTGACCACTTTGCAAAGGCAGCCACTCTATAAGAAAATATGGAAAAATATATTAACTAGTTCGACTCAAAGAGTCCTAAAATCACCTTGAACGCTAAAAGGCAAAATTCTCCCTAGGCACTACATGCAGTTTAGTTTAATATAAAACGGTTTCTTACTACGACAATATGATGGCCTCTAAAGCTCCCCCTTCAAATGAGATAATACAGTCAAATGATTCTGCTTTACTCAAAATCCACGTGCTTTAATTTGTCATTTGTTTCGAGATATTATAAACTAAAGGGCAGATTTTCTTGTCAGCTGTGTCAATAGAATAATTTTCGTCTGCATGCATCTCAGGATGAACAAAGTTAATGTAACCTAGACTTTGCTGCTAACTGTAATACTTTTCAAAGTTTTTTCATATTTAACACGAAATTACTTTGCTTAAATATTTTCACTACATAGAGTTTCTTTTCTTAGAAAACCTCAACTTGCATCCTTGCTTTAGGAGAAAACATAACAATTTGGTTTCATTATACCGTGCTCTCACTGCCCTTCTTCAATTTTATTTTTCGTTTTTCTTCGGGTAGTTCCGGATACTTGCTGGAGTAGATAGTGGGGGCCTCTAGCGAGAAACCTCCTCCTCCACCTCCTGAAGTTGACCTTGACCCGGTCATATGGTTACTGTAACCGTCAGCCTGTGAATAAAAATAATTGATTGGTGATAGTTCTTCTACCCACATGAAAAGACTATCTTTGTTATTTAAAAGATAAATAATGTATGATGATAATTACTACTCAAATAGTAAGTTTAATCTGTGTGGATCAGTCAAAGTATCTCACAAATCTAGCAACCTCAATATTTCTACGTAAAGCACATAATTCATTTTGTTATGTTTGTTTTTTTCTCAATAATTTAAAAGCCTGTTTATTGTTCTCGCTGCTTTTATCCTGTTGTCATCAAAATAGCCTGTATCTGTGCTCATTGCTGTTATAATTAACCATTTTCAAGTGATAGGGGCCTGTATGTACAGACTCTCTCCATACATTTGAAAAGAACAAGTGATATGCACAGAAGTCTTAAAAAATTTGTGTTTTTGAAGACATCAAGCAAATTTCTCACCGAATCTAGATCATCAGTGTATCCAAATAAATGGTGATACGACCCAACACATATCAATGCATATACCTGAAATAAAGAGTACGGTAATTTGTTAGTGAAAATAACTTTGCTACAACTATCATTTATTGAAACATTTCTTACCCAAAATACACCCAAATATATAAGCTTTCTTTGCATATTACTTGATCAATGTTCAAATGCGACTAAGCACAGTACATTTCATATATGTTTCAACAAAATCATAAACTAGTTCTTGTATTGCTGAAATACCAAAGAGCAAAATAATATACTATTTATGGGTATATGAAAGGCTGCTTTCTCAATTCAGCAATTTTAACCAAGGATGGTATACATATGTATAAATATTTAAATTTCAAATGTCCTAAATACTTCCAATTTACCAGGACGACAGGCAATCACTTCTAAAAATAAAGAATCTGATGCCAGAATCCCATGAATGACACATAAACTATCCTCATTTTATTGCCAACCTTTTTACTTACGTTTATTACAAAAAATGCGATATTGAGCACCACGGGCACCCAGATGTACGAAGACAGGTTGGGAAGAAAAACTAGAAAAGAATGTGATATTTTCAATTAATACTGAATAATGATAAACTTGAATATCGAATATTACAATATACTCATTTCACTTTACGATATGTCTTTGAAAAAAATTTTTGAATTCCCTCGACTTTTAGCAAGCAAACTTGCATGTTTTTAATGTGTTCCTTTTAATATAAGATAATAGAAATAAAATAAAGTGATAAATTAAAAACCATACCTGTATCCATGCCACATATGTAATATAACACTATACAGACTATGTAGTATAAACACTCTACAATGGTGAACACCATCCATGGCACTAACATCCATCTTGTCCGACTCTGAAAAATATCACAAAACACTTATATTTAAAAAATATTTTGTTTTGGAATGTGAGTAGAAAAATACACTTCATTCTAATAAATGATATTATAACATCACATGATAAACATCGTGTTGCCTACTTAATCTTTGTAAACGTGTGTAAGTAAAGGATAGACAAAAGAACATTTAGGAAAAGGTGGGTTATCTATTGCGATAAAGCAGTTTAGCAATTCTGTTGAAGATAATTTAAGCACTGACATATTAAGAAGTTGAAATGGGTAATAAAGTGGAATCGAGATAAGAAATAAAACTATAAAAACAGTAAAAGGAAATATGAATGAATTGATTGTTAAATACGTAGTAAAACAAGAAGGAATTTCATATTAAATGAGACGATCATATGACAAGAAGCATATGTGCAAGGGAAATTGAAAATTGAAAACGACCTTTCTATTAGGTTAGGGACGTTCTAATACCCAGGTAGGTGTCTCATTCTTTCTATATTCTTAACCTTTGGACGAAACATATATTACTACATATACATATATAACTACTACATTACTACAGTAACTGTGCCTTACCTTACCAGCCCCACACAGGGCCACAAGAGACGCTAACAGCCACAGTAAGTGGAGGGGTACTGATATGTAACTGATGGCGTCACTCAGGATAAAATTCCCGCCAAAAAATGTCCCGCACTCCGTGTAATAACCCCCAGTTACGGCCATGGAGGCTGAAATGTGATAAATTTGACAGGGAAATATTTTGACTTTGTTTGAATTTTAAATTACACGCATTTTAAATTAAACTTAGACTGGGATGCTCGACTGTTAAAATTTCACAAGACAAACAATCAAGAAATAACTCTTAAGCACTTAAATCAAACTCACATAAGATCAAGAACAAAAAATACATTGTAGAATCATTAAATTAAAAATAAATATTTTATCAAATATTAGTCATGGCTTCCTCAAAATATTTCTATTCCACGTATATTAATTATTTATTGAAAAATTTTTAGCCGTAGAGAACCAGATTTAAGCGGTGTAAATGTGTAAATGATGTCGCCAGCTTATACAATGTATTAATTAAGGTGTACGCATTACATGCATAGGGAGATAGAGGTTGTACGATATTCTTATAGACTCTATACTTACTGAGGGTGGCGATGTAGCAGTAGTAGACTAGACTGCCGAGTGAACAAAACTGGAATATAAGAAGAAATATCGGTAATACTTCAAATATACTACAAGCACATGTGCACCTTTAAATAAAATATTTGTGTGTGTGCGTGTGTGTGTGCGTGTGTGTGTGTGTATGTGAGAGAGAAAGACCCCAGGTGTGTGTGTGTGTGTGTTTGTGTGCGTATGTGCATGTGTGTAAGAGAGAGAGAGAGAGAGAGAGAGAGAGAGAGAGAGAGAGAGAGAGAACAATGCAGCATGGGCACCTGTACTACGTATTTATATGCTGGGTACACGCATCAGGATATAGACGTACCAGTTATGAGCACATAAAAAAAAGTACTGCCACTAACACCTCTATAATAACAATTTTAATAGTTCACCTGTGCTCATTACTCCCAAAGGTAACTTACCAGGGTATAGAAGCAGCATGCTAGAGTTCCCCTGTGCAAACTCCAGCAGAAACAACACTTGGTCATCATCTTGGCGACGGTTTAAATGAGATCTTTAAGTCTTGGCGTCCTCCATTTTTGTCACTTAACCGCTGTGGATATAGTACACCTGAGATCACTGCACATGCGCAGACGGCCGCCATTGCTAGTTATCGTCTCAGGTAGGTGACACATTAAGTCGGTATTTACAGGTGAGGGTTTAATGTAGGTCAACTGACAAGCGCAGTTGGTGCTGCTTTTGAATTCGCTTATCTTGTTTATAAACTCGCTGCAGTGGGGGGGTTATCTGTGGATTTTTACCAGTATACATGTATATAGCAATGACAAATATTTTTATTGCTGTTTTAGCATTGTAAGTTCCATGTGTTATGAGAAGTGTTGTAAATGTGCATGAAAATTGTAGATATTAATTTTATGTGCAAGCATTTTTGAATCTTTTGCACTGATTAAACGAATTAATGAAATGAAAAAATATGTAAAAGAACTGCAGAAAGGGAATTACATTTTGTAGAACACAGGACTATTTTTAATAAGGATGAAGATAGGGTCATCTTTGGAGGCATGTCCGTAAAGTCGCGCTACAAAGACTTAAATTTAATATGAATTTGTTAAACTTAGAATGCGTGATCGCTTTTACACATTTGCTTTTTATAATAGTTTGAATAACTTGCAAAACAGGGAATACATTTTGCATACTTTATTCATTATGCAACAAGCTTCCAACATACAAAATATTATCATTAGTAAAGCTGTCAATGCAATGGAAGTCCATTTGAATGATTAAGCGAACAAACTCAAGTAATTTCTAATTTCTATCTTATATTATTTCATTAAAGCACAACAGTGTGATTAAGGATGGTGTATATTATGCGGCTTACATCTTTATAGCGAATTACAACCAGTCACATTTTTGAAACGGATTTCCAAGATGGGCCATAGTACAATGTACATCTTCTATAAAAATAATAATAATAATAATAAATGAAAAAAATTTTTTTTAAAAAATCCACACATTACTACATGTAATACTAAAACATAAACCCTGAGTATTACAAAACGTGAAACATTACAATATATATATTTTTTTAATTTGTATTTGCTAAGAAACCAAATATTTGTCTTTCGTTTTGTTTCACGAATGATTAAAATGTTAGATTTTAATTTTTTTGTTTAATAATTTTAATACTTTAAAATATGTTATGATCATTTGTAAAGCACTCTCAAACAATCCATTTATACGGGAAAAATACCATAATTCGTCATCACCGACTATTAACTCACAGCTGAAGTATATATATATATATATTTTTTTTTCTTCAGCACTATCAGCACTGTTAGTACACGAACAGCACTATCAGAATTGTTCAATATTTCTCATTATACATTGTATGTGATATGAACTCTCCCGTCTTCTTTTCTTCTTGTGCTCTCTCTCTCTCTCTCTCTCTCTCTCTCTCTCTCTCCCGTGTTATCATTTTGGTCTCAGGATCTCAGTTATCTTACATGTACAGTGGGGGTTTTATTTCACCGACTCACAACAACCCGACTTTAGTATTTTTTTCATAAATTCAAATTTGTCCTTAGGTCCAACTACATTTTTCTATCGCCTGCTTTAATTTTTTCAATATTTTGTGAAGGAATAAATTTACATTTCCTCTTCGCCGTATTCCATTCCCCAAACATTTCATTATCTCCTGTTGTGTTATCCGCAGGCCGAATTTTTTTAATCGACTAATTTAGTTCAAATTCCAACCAATTATCGTCTGCGCTCCCTCCGTATATTCTGATGCGTTTCAGACTTTAACCAAATGTTAACATTAGTCCATATTCAAGTCAATTATCGTCTGCTTCCACTCAATACCGTCTGCCATCGTAGTCTCGGCTCTTGGAGAAGTTTCGGTACGGCGGGTAGCCCCCGTTGCGTATGGGTAGTGTGCCACCCCTGGGGAAGTCGGTGTAGACGTACACGGGTCCCCTGAGAGAGTGTCCACCCGGGTGGGAGCTCTGGGGGTAGATGTAGACAGGGGAGTTCCGGGAGTCGATCAGGTCGGAGAGGTGGATGGGCAGCTTCTTCTTTTTCTGTGAGGAGTAATAATATTTTAGAAAAGGAAGATATATTTCATAAAAATAACAGCCATGGTTAAGCTAAATTTAAATGCTTGCAATAAATATTATGTCTAATCAAAATTGACCAAATTGCATCAAAAATAGAATTTAAGGTTTCATTTTTTAGAATCGTGACTCGTGCTATCCACTTCTCATTAAACCTGTTTTATACATTCAATTGATTCGCTCTGTATTCAGTGAAATATACCCAGTATATTTACACCATCCTATTCCAATTAGATAAATTGTATGTATCTATAAGAAAAAGAACAAATGGTTTACCGCTTCTCTTCTTGCAAGCTGGGTGAAGTAGAATCCAACACACACTATGCTGTAGATCTAAAAAAGAAAAAAATAATGTAACCGATAGTGTATTCATGATACTGTCAATGCATGACTTGTTTCTTAAAGTTGTTAATGATTTTTCTCATACTGGTAGTCACCCCTACGTTCTGTCTCTCACTAGGACACACTCACACACACACACACACACACACACTGAAGACACACATCCACACTCGAACACACGCGCACACGCACGTACGTGCACACACACACACACATATGCACATAGTGAAAACCTACATGCATATAAGAACACACACGCACACGCATAAGCACACGCCCATACAGTTGTCATATACTTACATCAAGAGCCATCAAGCCCAGAGCAAGGACAACCACCAACCAGTAAACAACCCACCAATCTACAAAATAAAGTAACACAATATAGATAAAATTATTATATAAGACAGTAATTCATTATGCAGTATAATAAGTTATCAAACTGACTGCATATAGATAGTGTTACAGAGGCAATAGGTAAATAAATGAAAAAAGCATGAAAAAATTGCATCAGTATATTGTAAAGTTTTCCTACTCAAGTGCTGTAACCTTTGACCCTACAATTATGGAGTGGGAGGTCAACTGATATACATGTACATCTTCGGAAATTTTTCAAAAGCTGGAGAGATGGTGCCCTTTCATTTCACAGGAACCTCCTAAAACTGTACACAAAACGTATCTGATACAATGACATACTACTAGCGCACCCTGTCGGCAGAGAGAAGGTCTATCTCTCCTCTGTAGTTTTCATAAACTGAATAGATGACATTTTGAATATTTTGCTGTGTCTGCCTCTTGTTCTTTTTTTTCATTTTATGTTTACTATGATACGGAATACCTAAATGTAACAGTAGAATACTTACACAGATAGGTCACAGTGAAGACCAGCAGAAGAATGATGATAACAAGATAGTACAAGGACAGCAACGCCATCATTATCAGCCAAGGAATAAAACACCAGCGGTTTCTCTGAAATCAGAATATAAAAGACCGTATACAACATTATTATTAAATGATGTATTTTCATCTGCCCATGCATACTTATTATTTAAAATAATCCAAGGGCTTATACAGAGTCAAATTTTGCCGAGCTGTAAAGAAAGTGACACCTGCCTGTTTGCTCACAGTGCGAAAGTGTGTTTAGATACAGAGATTTAGTCTACATTTGAAAAAGAAATCAAACACAAAAATTAAAGAGAGAACCAAAAATGCAAAACAAATAAAGAAGACTCACCACTCCAATTCCAACGAAGAGCACTATACAGGCTATCAACCACAGTGCGGCGGCTACAATAATGGTATATATGTTGGCCTCCGAGATAACCAACCAGTCCAGTGTAGACGTAGTATAGGTGGTCAGGTTGACCCCGGTCACTACCACCACTGTGGTCTTGGCCGCATTCACTGAAATAAATGTATGGGAAAATATGTTTACTTTTTTAAAAAAAGTTTACTTATCAATTACTGAGCATTCAACTTTCAAACGCTTTTGTTGATAGATTGGAATTTAAAGGCATAGAACTGAATTTGAGATGGCTCGGCGGCACTGATTGAAATAAATGTATGTGAAAACATGTTTACCTTTTTAAAATATTTTTAAAGTTTATTTATGATTTATTGAATAAAAAATCTTCAAATGCATTTCATTTGCAAAATAAACAAATAAATAAATAAATAAATAGTTTGTAAAGAGTGATTTATTTGTGAAATATTAAGTTGCGACAGATCACCATAGGAAGTTTAGTTAAAAACAATCTAATTTTTACCATCTTTACATGGGAGAAAACGAAAAAAACCATTAACCTTGTTGTTATTTTTGTGATAACTTTGCTAGTTAATTCTGTGAACTGGGTACTATTCCATAACACTCACCTATCGCTGCATAATATATATACACGGTCAGCAGAACTAGGGCCCAGAGCTGAAAATAATATACAGAAAACAAGCTCGTAACTTTAATCTGGCTCATAAACACTGGTTGTTAGCAATGGTTTTACATTGAAATGAAGTAGTTCTACTAGCATATAAATATCTAATAAAAATTTGACAATTTTCGTTTGTCCATTCTGTGCAAGAATATGCCGGAGGATACTGGAAGGAGAATTGATAGAAGGAAAGGGGTTGGATCACAAATGAAGGGCAGAGTTGGGGTAGGGGTACAGGGGGTACATGAAAGAAGGAAAGGGAGATTGACATGATTTGGGGTGGGGTAAAGGGGGTCACATTTGGTTAACCCATAGATTCTTCTGCACCCTGATTAGTAACATCTTGAGACCCTCCAGTGCATGACTCAAGTAATGGGTGGAGAACTCTGTGTGACACATGAAGATCTTTAAATGTCGATCGTTGACAATTATTAGAGAAGAAAAACATTCATCATTATCATTTTTGGCTGATCATTTTGAATCACAACCTGTCGTCAAATAATAACAGCCGGAAAATCCGAAAAATTATTCCAAATCACTAAGACATCTGCAGCTCAACACCCAACATCAAGAACAACGACACGGTATCATATTTCAGGGTAATGATTCAGTCTCCAAGCCCAGAGTTAAAGATTACTCCGCACTCTGTCAACTTCGAGCATCTGGTCTATTTAAAATTATACCCAGTAGTTCATAATGGACTGCTGGTGTTACCCAAGACGTGATAACAACGCTAAGTCTGGAGCTACTATAACCAACTACTTCAACATGTGACGTAACTGACGTAAGGGCACATTTAGAGACGTCAAAAACTAATTATCAGCTGTTCGTGAAAATAGCACCTGTACAGTCATGGATTATGTTCAAGCCGACCGGCAAATGGCACCGTATAGATTTACATACATGCATCATCATATACTGACAGGCAGATGGTTTCTGTGCACTGAGTTAAGAATATTTTACACGCGCGGGGGACATGTAGCCTACATGTACACGTATATATTTCAGTTACTTTTAAAGACAAGTCTCAAAATTAATGAAGCATTGTCACGGATGTTGAGGTTCTTCATTGGGTTGATAATGATATTGCTTATTTGTTATTTTTATCGTAATACCAATCTGTTTAGAATTATTTCGAATGTTTGTATAGCAATTCGGGTAAAAGAGCTGTTATACATTATAATTATGAATAAATACATAGGCAAATACGTATACGAAATACGTATATGAAATCTGCATACTATATGACATTTCTTTATGCAGAAGCTGAAAATATGCATGGATAATACGTGGATAGAATGAAACCATTCTGCTATTATGTATGATAAAGCAAATTCGGCCTGTCTAGCCCCTGTGTGCGCGTGCGTGTGTGTACGCTCGCGTGCCTTGGCGCACTACTGAGAACGCGTCTATATCTTGCATTCATATTTCACCATTTGAACACGTGGAATGAGTAATGACATTAGTAACGGCAGATCCATCCTCAGCGTTTTCGTGTAAAAGCGTATCGGTTACAAAAAGGGGAGGATTTCTACATTCCAAGCGCCATTCCAAACAATTCCACATTGTGTAACAGCAGGATTGGTTGTAGGGCGTTAAAAAGGTTCGGTGCCCCTGAAAAACAGTGACACATACCTCACAACTTAATTTATCTGGAATTCTCTACATGTTGAAAAAAGTAAGTTATTTAGAGTAAGGGTGAGACAACGTGGGGAAACTTGTCTCTAAAAGGTCTGCTAATCAGTTGATAATTGTGGCTTGAGAGAAGGGGTTTCATCACGAACATCTATTTTAGTTCATGACCTAAAATTATCTTCAGAATAACCGGTATAACCATTTACTCGTATCAGTATTTTTCTTTTGTTTTCTTCGTTAGTGAGTTCCTTTACAGCATACATATAAAGCGTATTACGTTTGACATACTTTACCAAAACCGGGGATAACAGCTGATAAAACATTTTTTCACGAAGAAAAACAATTTGCTCAAATAACTGCCAATCTATTCAACTTTGAAATAAATTCTTAATCCGTTCCTTCCAGCACTGCTCTATATACCAAACTGACGTAATGGAGAAAATAACAACAATAATATTACTCAATACAGATTTGGTATTTCTCTGGTGAAATCTATTAATTAGGCACGGAGCGGTGCGTGAAAGGTCTATGTGGAGCTGGTAAATAATTGAGTATATGGATTTACAACACCTATGCCTGTCTCACTGATTGTACACTGTATCCATGATCACACGACTCTCACGTCCTTGACTGCCATTTAACTTTGGGCATGATATCGGATATATTTGCGCGATGTTTTTTAGCTTGCGTCACACCTGGTACCTTATCAACGTCACGTACAGAGTAGGGGCCATATGTGTACGTGAAAAATAATAATATTATGTTGTAATTTGTTTTTCGCTTTTCATACAGGTATGAGTCACGCTTTGTGCCACAAAAGACAAAACAAACATGTACTCAGAATCAGTGCATATACGCATACCCACCCATCCCCCGACAAAACGAGAAATTCACCGAAACTGTCGAAACGTATTTCAATACAAGAACACCAATTAAGTTGGATAAAATCCATATGGAATGTTGGCTTTGTACGTTGAATGACGGCCATCGTGTTATATTTACTCTTGCTGGTCACTCGGTCCAGTTCAAAACAGGGGCGTGGGCAGGAATGCCACTCAAATATATAGTAGAGAATGAAATCATATTAAAGATCTCAGAACAATAGAAAAAATCATAAGAGGGTGTGCTTTTTTGAAAAAGTAAGCCTCTTTGTCCTCTTAGTTGACCCAATTTGAGCCATGACATAGAACCGAGGTCAAATGTTGATTCAGAGTGACCCTTCCTAGCAAAAAGGCCGTTCTTTCGATCAGGCTTGGATATTTTGTTTTTGTTATATATAAGATATATACAACCTTTAAAACGTGAGCGTCACGCCCAGAGAACTTTATCTTTTTGCTTTTACGAGCTGCTGAATTGCCCCCTGTCAACTCTGTTGGGGCGTGGACGATCTATCGACCCTACAAGGTACGGCAGGTAGAGCCTCAGTTGCTTAGGTTGAAATTAACTCAGAGTACTGTAGTCTGCAACAGGTTTCTCCAAATTCAGAAACTTTAGCGTGCAGTTTATGAATTTTGAACTAACAGGTGGATGTGGTTTACGGGTGACCGAAGCTGACGGCTTATGCTATTAATAATATCCATACCAAAGCCATTCAACTGTGGAACGATAGAGTATCTATTATATTTTATAAATGGAAACATTGTGTCCTATAATACACAGCCAAGCATTCAATATACCTGGTCGGCGTAGTTCTTGAGATTTTTATCATGGTTTTCGAGGTGAAACACTGTTTGCATTCATTTTAAGATGTTTGGGTAATGGACTCCGCGAGCCATTTTGTTCTCTCATGTATTCATACTAATAAATCGATCATATTATACACAAACAACCCCTTATGTTCGAAAGATTTACCCGAAAGTGCCTTTGTATAGCGAGGTATACTGCAGGTAAAGGGTGGGGGACAAGTGGCCGAATGTGGCAAAAAATTTTACCAAATGATATACCCTTAACACTTAATACAGTCTTTGATATACGCCAACATCGCTACCGTTACACCGTATCTAATGCGTTATAATATGCTTACAGTTGACCACACTCCACTAAATATACTCCCTTGCCGCAGATTACAGCAACAACAGAATGTCCTCAACATGTTTGTAGGTGTATAAAGTGAACAAAACGCTGTGAAATATTCTGTCCTCTGTTTTCACCGCTGTGAAATTGCCTGTCAACAATTGTGTCACCAAGCTGCACTTGGTAAAGAGGTTGTCCCGTATGGGTCACAGAACCGCCAAAAAGGCTGGATACTTTATGGTAGACCTCAGAAACTCAACAGGTGTGCCTCTGTTTCGCCTGTCCTATTTAAGTGTCACCAACTCTCTCTCGTACTCGGCGTTCTCTCTCTCTGTCTCTCTCTCTCTCCCTTGCCTCGCCCTCTTTCCTTTCCAAGTGAGGTGTGTTGGATGCCTGCTACCCGCGGTGGCTCGAGTGTAGTTAACGCCCTTTCTTTGTCAATATGGACCGTATTATATTCCCTGCTCAATTACATTCGGGGGCAGTTATCGAATAACAATAATACGCTGGCCTTTGTGGCATTGTAGCAAGGATTTCTTAATACAGCAAACAATTGGCGATGTTTTCTGATGGTGTACTGGAATGGAGGTGGACGTGAACAATATTGTTTACAAAGCAGAAGATGGTGTTTTTTCTTTTGTTGCAAGAATTATTACAATTGATAATATGACTTGGCCTAGTGCACCAGTTTATATATAATTTAATCAATCGCTAAAAAGACACTTATTAATGTACTTCTTTTCTTAAAATGATTAACGGTAAAGTGGACCGTGTTTTTTAAACATTATCATGGGCCACAGTATGATTGAAAAAGATGCTACAAGTTTGTGAGCGCGGTTAATGAAACAGAAATTCAGCCGCATTTATTGCGCTCCTTTTAATCAAATATAACCAAATATAGATTCAGTTTTGAGCAAGAGTGGACAATTTATTTCGAAAATATGAAAATTAGCCCGGTAATTAAAAGTTGAATGTCGTCTGCAGCATAGTAAATGGAAACGGTGGACTACGTGTCACCGTACTCACATTGAGTAGATAACTTCCCGATTTTTATTCATAAGATAACTGAAGAAGCCAAGGACAAAAAAGGAGGCTTGGTGATCGACACATGATAACTGCAATAAGTAGCCACCTGTTCAGGGCGACTGATAAGAGGCTCTGAAATCGTGTTTTATTGAAAAAAATAAAAACCGCTTTGTCTTTACGCTGGAGACGTGTTAAAATTGTTCGCCCTGCCCTCCAAGTCCACCCCCCCCCCCCAAAGATAAAAAAATAAATGCGTCTTAAAAACAATTCACAGCAGAAAATGTTAAGAAAGAAGAAAAAACAGAGAATAAGTCAGCGAGAATGCTTAACGCATATTCGTCTGTGTGTACGCAATATTGAACAGTTCTCAGTAAGTCAAATATATAGCGCACCCAAACACACAAACACACGAAACATGGGAGTACAGGTTAACCTAATACAAAAGGTATTACGTAGACCCTCCCAAGTGAAGTATTTGTTTTTAGCAGCGTGACTGGAATAGGGTTATGTTTAATGGAAACACAATGGAGAGAGGTAAACAAAGTCATAAATGAAACACGCGGGTTTAAGGTGGTCACTTTAGTCGCCGTAACCGCATTTTCAGCCTGATTAAGTAAGACCAAAAAAGTCTAAGGGCTTATTCACAATGAAACTATCGATCTACGTAGATAGATCCAAGTTCGTGGAACTCATTCTGAATGCAATCAGATAAACATTTTAATGTTAAAACAGGTGTTGAATAGAATAAAAAAAGTTGGTGATTATATTGGGTATGCATTGTCAAGTTTTTTATCACTCTAAAATTATCTTAGCCCGAAAAAATAAAAGATTTTTTCACAACTCAGTGTTCTGCAGAAAAGTTTATTTCATTTTCTTTTGATAATAAACAATTTAATCGTGTATAATTGTACAAAAAGAATGCATACACTGGAAGTTGACGTATTGCAAGGGCAGTCACTTGATCCTTTGTGGAGAATTAAACTGATACGCATAACTTATTGAAGCCTATTATCCTATATGGAGCATTAAACTGATACTCATAACTTATTAAAAACCTATTATCCTATATGGAGATGATACTCGTAATTTATTGAAGCCTTTTATCCTATATGGAGCATTAAACTAATACTCATAACTTATTAAAAACCTATTATCCTATATGGAGATGATACTCGTAATTTATTGAAGCCTTTTATCCTATATGGAGAATTAAACTGATACTCATAACTTATTAAAGCCTATTATCCTATATGGAGATGATACTCATAATTTATTGAAGCCTATTATCCTATATGGAGCATTGAACTGATAATCATAACTTATTGAAGCCCAAAATCTTGCCAGAAAGCACAGCTGTATTGAATATAAGTAAAAGTTGTGTCCAAAAAGGGAAAATGTTTCCCAGGGAAAGGGGGGGGGGCGGTCACGGGGGTGCACAATGTCAATGGCCTTTAAAGTAGCCTGCATCGATCGAGATGTTTTTTTTTCTCAAACTTTCAAAAATTTCAAATATAAATTGTGAGAAAAAGCTTAATGAACCATATTATATAAACACCACATCAGTTAAACTTTTATGGAGGTATCGAGTGACCCGTTTTCACAGGCCGTATGTAGGCCTGTATGCCAGAATTTTTAACTGACCGACTAGTGCTTTTATTAGACGTACCCTCTACCAGGGTTACAGAAATATTTTTCACTAGATATTTACATATCAAGTTTTTCTCTGGCATCTGCTACAGAGTAGGTTCTAATAAATACAGTATGTCAGCCCAACAATATTCTTGTGGGAATAATGCGTTTCACTAAAGCGAGAATTTATTTTGAAGAACTACTAAACTTAAATACAGTTAAAATCAAATAAAGACATACATATAAATGAAACCCGTCTAATTCCATGATCAGTCGACTCCGTCTGGGCGTGATATATGTATAATTATAGCATGCACCTTGAATCATCTTAAAAGGGATTTCTCCAATACATAAAGTCAGTACCTTTAATTCTATACACTATTGACTTTTTTTTTAGTTTGGGATCAAATCCAAGTGCGGGGCATGCAATGTCATACCAAATATTTTAATTTGGAGTGAACTTAAAAGGGCCAACATGCATTTCCATAAGTACCACCTCTTAAATACATTATATATCGTCATTTCTAACCTTTGAACTCAACTTCGCAGGTCTTCGCATATACGTTGGTCCTAGGATTGATATACACCGAAAAAAAAATGGACAGCAACTCCAATGACGTCAACATGTTCCCGGATGAAAACCGTCATACATTAGTCTACTACGATAGTAACAAGAAATAGCTCTAACTGTACATTTGACATTCTCTTGCCATCTAGAACTACATCTCGCCTTTTGAGCAATGATGTTTCAAATGCAACTGCAAAATTGCGCAATAAAATCGCTGATTATATTCATTTGTAGTACACCGTATATACTTTGATATAGAATTACAATCACTGACGCATAGCATACTACAAGGATTGGCTATAACTCTTCGCCTAATCAGCCAAGATATTCCTAAAACTGATAAGGTCAAATTCTTGACTTAAATATTCCAGTGTGCACACGGAATGTACATATTGGTCTTGATTGTCCTCAATGAAAAAAATCTCCACACCGGCCTCTAACGTTATACGGTATGAGTTTATTGTTTTTGCCTAGACTTATAATTCCGACCAGAAAAAAAATTAATCATTGAGAAATACAAAAGTACAAAAAATAAAAAAATCTAATCCTGACTTTAAGAGCACAATGCATTACAATAACATTTCTGTTTTTATCTGGAATCAGTACCGTTTATTATAATCATACTCATAACCCCCTCCATGGTAGCTGGGGCGATACTGGTAGCCTTGGTTTACGTATCCGCCGGTAGGTGGCTTCTTGTAAGACCCGTGATCGTCGAACTCCGTACCGTACGGACTGAAAACTGCATGTCCTTGCTTTTGGCTTATATAGTCATTTTGACGCTGCTGGGGGTACTGCGGATAACCCCCCGCGGCGTATGCGTACGCAGGTTTCCCACCTTGGTCGTGATTTCCGTTGTATTGTACCATTCGCATGGCTCGATTTTCCTTGAATAAAAGAGAATCGGTAAGCTATATCACTAAATAATTGAATGGATGAGGCAACCCATTTAGATTCAATAATAACTGACAACAGTTTATCTTGATAGCAATAAATTACAGCTATCCAAATCGTTAAACAAAACGCCTTCAACTCATTTTCCAACCTGAGACCGTTCTAGTAAGTAAAATAAAATTCATGATGAGAGACCTTTCTTATTTTAAGAAAATGTATATTATTGAAGTGGGACTTAAACTGCATTAAATTGAGTATGTTCCACCAGTGATACCTCGACCCCTGTTCCACTTTTACTTACCTCCATCTCTCTCTCCATCGTCAGTTCACGGAAATAGAACCCCACGCAAATAAGAGCATAGATCTGAAGAAACAATGGCAGAATGGCATTTTTGAACGAAAGGATTGAGCATAATGATCGGTGCCTTAGGAAAAATGATTGAAAAATTCTCAGATTCATCTCATTTGAAAGAAAAAGTTAAATGAGCAAGAGGATTTGATACTTCACGTGAAAAAAATTTAATTACGGAATTGGATTGAGGCAAAAATCAAAATATTTTTTCTGAGATTAAAACATTTAATCTTAAAAGAGAGAGAGAGAGAGAGAGAGAGAGAGAGAGAGAGAGAGAGGACTCCACTTACGTCAAACACTATTATGAGGAAAAGTACTCCTACAATAACCCAGAAGAGCCAGAATGTGTCTGAAAAACAAAAAAAAAAAAAAAAAAATTAAGGTTCACTTCATGATATTTAACCGCTAAATGGATTTCCCCAGGAAAATAAGCGAATGTGCAGGTTTGCGTTTATGCTTGTGTTAATAGTTCAATGTCTTTGTAATAGTGTCTGCACACCTCACAGTGACACTTTCATATACTCACAGAGCAGCACGACCCCATATACGAGGACGAGGACGAGAACAGCAATCAGATACAACGTGGCTAGAATGGTGAAGACAAGCCACGGGACGAGACACCAGCGATTTTTCTGAAGAAATAAAAACAAATTTACAATGAATTGAAAAAAGAGTAACAATTGGCAAAAACATCACAGAAAATCAGATGAGGTTAACATACAAAATATTATCCGCGAGCATGGCGCGCAGTTCGCCCTTTCGTCTGCAAAGTTATACTGTTGAGCAATGGCTGGTTTCACAAATTTTAAACGAAAGTTCTAAGAAATTTTGACAGAAATCTGGCCTAGATAAATCCATAAAAGACCATTTGTAATTTGTATAAAGCCATTATTGATTTGAAACATAAGCCACGTTTTTTTAATTATCTTCAAATTAATTAATTAATTAATTAATTAATTAATATATTTTTATTTTTATTTTTATTTTATTTTATTATTATTATTTTTTTTTTTTTGTAAAACAGTCGCCGTAATTCGTTTACTTGGGGTAACACTGATTTAGAATCAAAGACGGCTAACATTTTGGTTAAAAAATGGGCTTTTATTCAGAGTAAATAATAATAATAATAATAATAATAATAATAATAATAATAATAATAAACTTTGGAACTACTCACGACACAAATTCCAGCGAACAGAACAATGCAGGAGATAAACCATAGGAAAGATACTGCTAGCCCCACGTATACAGTGTATCTATTTTGGAACGCATAGATTGTATTTAGAACGCTGGCTGTGTCTGGTTGACCTGTTCCGAGGGACCCTTGGGCAATTTCAACTGAAAATTAAAGAATGAATATTATGGACAAAGTGCAAGCGGAACAGTACATTTTACATGTTCCTCAAATCATATAGCAAATCATACAGTCCTCTTTTGTATTTTGAAATTATAATTTTTAAATTTACTTCATTCTGTGCTCTATAGTCATATTCTAATGATGTTTTACCTATGGATTGCGTTTTTAATAAACTATTATTTCAAATGTAAGAACATGTATTTCTCTCGTACTCTTGTTGTTAATGTCTACCTTTTAGATATGACTCTTTGAGACACTATGTATACTATGTTTTTATATTTAGGACACACGAGAAAAAAGCCTTAGAATAAACAAATAAATAAATAAATTATATTAATAACATATACTAGCACAAGCTTGACAAGAGAAAAGACAACAAAAGCATACATACGCGTTATCACAAAGAAGATGTAGGCGGCTAAGGCTAGCGATGCAAATAACTGTAAAAAATAGGAAATTATGCATTTGGTAATATATATATATAAATAAGCAATGTACATGTAAATAAGTTTTCTATTGAGCTAGTGGTACGATTAATATAATGTGTCATGCATAGGTCTATATGTCTTTGCCTGTGCGTGAACAATAGCGTGCGCGCACACGTAGGTGTAACTACATGTATATGAATCCATGAGTGTGTATATATATATATATATATATATATATATATATATATATTTTTTTTTTTTTTTTTTTTTAAGCGCTGTTAATAATCATTGATGTTGAAAAATCCAAAAGGCAAAACCACAATAATACAGAGAACAAACAAATTTGGGTGGGGATCACTTTTTCAAAGAGTGAGTAATCACAATTAACAATTGGCGGGAAACGCCTTAAATACTAGGCGTGGCTGTTCCAGAAGGTGACGAAATTCTATTTGTTTAAGTATTGTGCAATCCGTTATACTAAGACGTATTTGTCTAACGGATTACGTAACTGCACGTCTGGGTAAATAGGAGTAGGTCTAGGTGTTGGTGTTTAGTGCTTAATATCACAGATCTGTGTGACAGGTATATATACTTAAACCTTGAACTGTTGGCAAATAATGCGCTATCGAATAAATTTGTCGTCAAATTTCTAAAGCTGACCTATTTTTAGGCATACCTTAGAGACGGGAACAATGGGGAAGACTCCATGTAGTATATTGATCTGTATGGGCAAATGGCGTAAATGTATGAGCTAGTGGGTTATTCCATTGTGAAGGATCCGGAAAGAGCCTTACTACAGTATTTCTTGCATTTTTCTGTATCTACTGTAGCATAAGTGCACAATGTTCGAAGCATGTGCACAATTTGTGAGATTTTGGCCAGAGGGGACGCGTCAAGCCCGCAACCAGATTGTCAAATGTCAAATATATACAATATGATCCAAATTTAAACCCAACCATATGGATGTACGTGCATGTTTATGTACCTGGCGATGAGCACACGAGTATGTACTTTTTAACGCAAAATCAGACAATTTACTAAAGATAGGTGTACAATTTACAATAAACTGAGGGATCAACCACCGTTTGCACGTTTAATAGCCCTATATGATTTAATACTAGGGGCTACATGTACCTTATCTAAGTGTGGGTCTAAACATTGACATACATGTAAATTGTTGCTTTCGGGCATAAAATGGGATATGTATATACATTGTACATTGGCGTGAAGTTTTTAGCCATGGTATATCGTATAAACTGTGTATTCATGTAGTTTTCCCAATGGTTCGCATTTTATATGTGCGTATGTTGAAAGACGGGGAAATGCAGCCACACCCAGGGAAACCTTAGCTAACAGTCAGCCTTGTTCGTGCATGGAGCCTGGGGATTTTAATCAGAATTTTTATAAATAGTAAAATCCTAATAATTCATGGTGGGCCCGAGGATGAAAAAGTACTTGCGCTACATTTGTGTAATATAAAACATTTTCATGGCCAAATGTTTACCCTTTATACAAGTACATGTAGATCCGCACGTGTGCATTAATATTTCTCCCATAATATTCAAATTAATGGAGGTGTTAACAGAGGAGAATGAATTAAGAAGTACAATTACTAACGTGAGACGTAACCTGTTTACATATATATAGAACTATATGAAGCAGCCCAAACAACTCCAAATCAATCATAGACTGTACTGTGAAAAGGAGACTCATGAAGTTAAACTTAAAGGTCTATACATGTGGTACCTACCAATCCCCACACACCGCTGAATACACTCCCCGTACGTAAGCTACAGCAGCAACAACACGTTTTCATCTTGGTGCCGTGTGTTCTCCTCTACTCTCGGGTACGCCTTCAAGTATCAGACAGAAACGACCCCAAGTCCTGTAAAAAGACTCTCGAGATGACTGGCCAAAATCGATGCTTGTTCTTCGAAACTCTCTCGACTAGCCACTAACGTGTAAAATTTCTTCCAGATTTCAAACTTCCGAATTAAGTTGCTGTAGGTGACCAAGAAGACTGTATCTTCTAAGTTTCAGGTACCTCACAGCCGCTGCTTGGTGTGACGCAGTTATAGTACTTAGATGTATAGTAACGCTATCCAAGGCGAGTGCTGAGAGTCATTCTAGCACAAAGACTGGTGGCACACAACAGTGGATCCTTAAACTCTCCCCTCTCAGTGCTACGTCTTATATGATTATTTACACCTTCCTCTGGTCCATACACACAAATGTTACACACGTGGATGTGTATACAGTGTAATAACTATCTATAAAATCCCTGTCTATTTGTCCCCGCTATGAAGACGCTCGTGGCAAGAACTTCAAGGTGAAAACGATGTCCGGGTTATGTAGGTGTCAGCACAAGTGAGTACACGCCCGAAATATCACCCAGTTTAATAAAGCATGACACAGGTGAGGGGACGGGTTAAGTCAATACGACGCCCGCGCCATGAGTTACATGTATTTGTATTGTTTGTTCTCAGTGGCACCTTATAGCCAATACAATGTGTTGTCTTAATGCACCGCTTAACACATTGTGTTTTCTGAATTGAATAATAACAAGGTTAGCTCATGTATTGCCAGGTCATCGTTTTACTATGCATATGCATATACAGGGGTACCTATACATGTTCGTTTATATGGAGCGATTCCATTTTCTTTTCATCAGTCAATACTATGCCCCTTCGAATCCATCACGCATGCGTGCCGGTATTCTACTAGTATAAAATATATCTGATTTTTCCCTATTTAATCATCGCTTTAATTGTCTGTTTTACAACTAATATTAAATGAAACATTAAAGACGTTCTCTTTCATTCCCGGTCCACATTCGTGGCTGCTGAAATTTATGTTGATTTTTTTTTTATTATACGGAATACGTTTTGCATTTCTTTTTCACAAAAATCAATGTTTTATTTCGTCTGTTTCAAAGAGGTGGCTAAATGGCTAATGTCTGAAATAAAGATATCTTTATAATTTTTTCTCAGCTCGTTTACAATGTAAACCTGTTTACCACTTACTTTAAAAGCCATGCCGAAATGTACCTCCTGAAATCAAAATCGTTTGAAACTGACCTTACCCCGAAACGTTTCCCTTTTCCTTTCAATCTCGGTTTCCTCTCTCCCTTTATCAATTGCATCAGAGGCAATTACATGTAAAAGTTTCCGATCACATCTTGACCTAGACAATGGTGTGTTACACGTGACAAAAAATTGAAATAAAATTAGCAGCTCCTCGACCACCGGCCTTGAGATTTTACAATAGGATGGAGAAATACGGGTTATTATTTTCGACAATAATGACGGGGTCATTAGCTTGAAGTAGATGCAAATTAGCATTAGACCAATTTTCTCATTTGATATTTATAACGTTTACAGTGATTTTAAAAGCATGTACAAATGCGTCTCAGCGTTGTTTACCAAAAATACATGATTTTTTTGCAGGATTAAAACTAAAGGTATAATTTTGTGTAGACTGGTCCATGAATGATAAAAACTGATAACGACTCCTCCAGAATATTGATGTTATTTTTTATTTTTTTATTATTACTATTGTGGATGATTTCTGATAAAATCCGTGACATTGCACATCATAGGAGGACCCAGTGAGGAAAAAGAGAGAGAGAGGAGCGGAGAAGACCGAGGATCGAGATTTTTCCCGTTCTCATGGCACAGTGGATCCTACAGACTTCAGTTTTCAGTCAAATCCTACAATAGTTTGCTAACCCAATGTGCTAATACGATGCACATAATCGAGTTTCTTAAATGACAAAACGAAATTCCACTCGAACTTTATTTTTTGGCTTAATTCTTATCGATAAAATAAAGAAAAACAAACTAACTACTACATTGCGATATAGAAGCCAGTGTTGTCTTCGCTGACACATTTAATAAGGGCTGTAACGTAAACTCGTATTTCTCAGCCCAACATTATTCAAAATGTTACTGCTCACTTCCCTTGTTATGAAAAGTAGTCATATATCGTACTATTGTTGGGAACAATATAATTATAATAAGGTACATTATTTATAGCTTATATTTTGCCTGTTGATGACGAAAATGTTAGAAACCATGCGTCCACTTTGATTTTGGAGGAATGCATGAAAAGCCCCCTTTACACTTTATGGCGTCCTTTCTGCGCCCCGTAGTGACGGTCCCGTTTGAGAGTAAAAAATAATAATACTTTACTAGCCGACAACTGGCCAATCAGAGCATTCATTCTGCAACCATAGCGATGATTGTGCCTCCTTTCTACGACCACAGCGATGTCAGTTTCATGGTCGCACAACGGACGCGTTCCAGTGTAAAGGGGTTTAAGGGCTGCTTTGCTGCTGATATCAATTACTGGGGGGGGGGGGGTGATCGAAAGCAAAACTAAACCGATAAAAAAACGACCCAATCAAACCGCAGNATACATGTGGTACCTACCAATCCCCATACACCGCTGAATACACTCCCCGTACGTAAGCTACAGCAGCAACAACACGTCTTCATCTTGGTAGCGTGTGCTCTTCTCTACCCTCGGATGCGCCAACAAGTATCAGATAGAAACGACTCCAAGTCCTGTAATAAGACTCTCGAGATGACTGGCCAAAATCGATGCTTGTTCTTCGAAACTCTCTCGACTAGCCACTAATGTGTGAAATTTCTCCCAGATTTCAAACTTCCGAATTAAGTTGCTGTAGGTGGGAAAGACGACTGTATCTTCCAAGTTATAGGTACTTCACAGCCGCAGCTTGGTGTGACGCAGTTACAGTACTTAGGTATATAGTAATACTATCCAAGGCAACTGCTGACAGTCATTCTAGCACAAAGACTGGTGGCACAGTAGATCCTTAAACTCTCCCCTCTCAGCGCTACGTCTTATAAGATTATTTACACCTTCCTCTGGTCCATACACACGGATGTTACACACGTGGATGTGTATGCAGTGTATCTATCTATAAAATCCTTGTCTATCTGTATCCGCTATGAAGACGCTCGTGGCAAGAACTTCAAGGTGAAAACGATGTCCGGGTTATGTAGGTGTCAGCACAAGTGAGTACACGCCCGAAATATCACCCAGTTTAATAAAGCATGACACAGGTGAGGGGACGGGTTAAGTCAATACGACGTCCGCGCCATGAGTTATTTGTATTGTTTGTACTCAGTGGCACCTTATAGCCAATACAATGTGTTGTCTTAATGCACCGCTTAACACATTGTGTTTTCTGAATTGAATAATAACAAGGTTAGCTCATGTATTGCCAGGTCATCGTTTTACTATGCATATGCATATACAGGGGTACCTGTACATGTTCGTTTATATGGAGCGATTCCCTATTATTTTCATCAGTCGATACTATGCTCCTTCGAATCCATCACGCATGGGTATTCTCCTAGTACAAAATATATCTGATTTTCCCTCTGTTTAATCATTGCTTTAATTTTCTGTTTTACAACTTATATTCAGTGAAGCATTACAGACGTTCTCTTTCAATTAATGTTGATTTTTTTATTGTACGGAATACATGTACGTTTTGCAATTCTTTTTCACAAAAAATCAATGTTTTATTTCGTCTGTTTCAAAGAGGTGGCTAAATGGCTAATGACTGAAATAAAGATGTGTTTATAATTTTTCTCAGCTTGTTTACAATGTAATCCTGTTTACCGCCTCATTTGGAGTATGCCGAAATGTACCCCCTGAAACCTTAATCGTTTGAAATGGACCTTATCCCGAAAAATTACCCTTTTCCCTTATATCTCGGTTTCCTCTCTCCCTTTATCAATTGCATCACAGGCAATTACATGTAAAAGTTTACGACCATCTCTTGACCTAGACAATGGTGTGTTACACTTGACAAAAAATTGAAATAAAATTAGCAGCTCCTCGACCACCGGCCTTGAGATTTTACAATAGGATGGGGAAATACGGGTTATTATTTTCGACAATAATGATGGTATTTTTTATTATTATTATTATTATTTTTTTTTTTTTGGATGATTTCTGATAAAATCCGTGACATTGCACATCATAGGAGGACCCAGTGAGGAAAGAGAGAGAGAGGAGCGTAGAAAACCGAGGATCGAGATTTTCCCGTTCACATGGTATAGTGGACCCTACAGACTTCAGTCAGGTTTTCAGTCAAATCCTACAATAGTTTGTTTACCCAATGTGCTAATACGATGCACATAATCGTGTTTATTAAATGACACCTCGAACTTTATTTTTTGGCTTAATTCTTATCGATAAAATAAAGAAAAAACAAACTGACTACTACATTGCGATATAGAAGCCAGTGTTGTCTTCGCTGACACATTTAATAAGGGCTGTAACGTAAACTCGTACTCCCCCCAACATTATTCAATATGTTACTGCTCACTTCCCTTGTTATGAAAAGTAGTCATATATCTTGCTATTGTTGGAGACAATGTAATTATAATAAAGTACATTATTTATAGCTTATATTATGCCTGTTGATGACAAAAATTTGAGAAACCATTGTAAAGGGGTTTAAGGGCTGCTTTGCTGCTGATATCAATTACTGGGGGGTGATCGAAAGCAAAACTAAACCGATAAAAAAACGACCCAATCAAACTGCAGAAAATTATTCACATTTATACAACATACTTTATTACAAATCGGCGAAATTGTACATACAAATGTAAAATCCAGGGAAATTTATATAGTCTTAAAATTTCAAATGGTATAATGTTTGAACAGATCATATAAAGCTACGGACTGACCTGGTTTCAATACTCTTTCGTTCGCATAGTGAAAATGCCACAAAAAATAATGACATTCGGTTGTACGGATTTTATAAAGTATTTAGATGGATATCGTGACCACAAACATTAGTTAGCCAAACGTTTTGTACTTGAATTACTAAAAGGGCACTCGCATCAAATGTCGCGTGAGAAATAACGACAGTACCGAATGAGTTCTAACGGCAAACATACATGTGTGCATCTGCTTACCCTCTCCCAAGGCCGCATATTAATAATGTGCACTTTTCTCACCTAAGACATCTGTATATATGTAGTGCAAAAATTGATCTGTGATCCTGGTAGAGAGTGTACACTTCTGATCAAAACATACTAATAATAAATGACTAAGTTTCCTACCATGTGCGCACAAATGTACTTCGTAAGTGAGTAATAATCTTTAAAGTCGATTAGAGCAAAATTTCCTACTAATATACAATGTACTAGTAGTCGATACCAATGGATATTTCAGTTTATGAAAAATATCTCGCTTCAAGTAATAAAGAGAATTAGAGTGTATGCTGCCAGGGAAATTTTCTGCACAATGTTACATTTGTTTTACATGTACCACTCAAACAGCAAACTTACAAATATTTCAAAATACCTATATAAGATCCCGATTATACAAATATTGAAAAAAAAAACATTAAGAAAATATGGAAGTTTTGATTTATGAAAGAGTAATAATGGGTAAACTTTGATAAATCCTACAAATCACTGCAGACAAGAATACTATACCAATTCCATAAATTTCTACTCAAAAGTTAAGCAATACGTGGTCCCCATTTGATGAATGAAATATAAGATTTGGTCAGAGTTTATTGGTGACAAAGGGTCCTTTAGTCTAGGTATTGTCTAAAAAACGTTATTTCAATGAAGACACATATTTGGGATTAAATCTGATTCTGGTTTAACACGGGTACTGTCGGGTATAAATCTTGTGAGATCTTAGGTTTAAGACTTTCACGTACCTGTAGAATCACGTCACTGATGTTAAGTAAGTCTATCATAAGTATTCTGTCCTTGTTTTGGAAATGAACGGGCTAATATATGTAAAAACCATGTTCCTGACCAAAAATCACTTGTACGTACTAAATTGCCGTGTTTGCCAGCATCATTCTTGTATTGAAAGAAAATAAACAGAAAAACCTGAAAATAAGAAAATTTTAGTCCCTATATCATACAAAAAGTATATCCAAGAATATATCATCCAAAAATTGATCAGATATGGGTTGTTCCCTAAAAAACGCTTCCTTAAAATGCGTTATACAGGAAATCCAAATCACTGTACGGCCAAACACTCATACATAAGACTAATCCAAAAACAAAAAAATATGCTTGTATAAAACTTTCACCTAACTCAAAAGGTTCGTTGTAATGGTCTGTTTGAGTTTGGGAAATGATTAAGGTAGTTTCTAAAATATACATTAAATAAAATTAAGTAAATGCAGCTGCTATTTGGAAAGTTGAAGCACCATAAAAAATCTTTACACAGAAGATTATCGTCTGCAGTTAACAATCTATGTGACAAGATAGGCAAATAACGATGAATGAGATTTCAGGTACATATTTAGATCTTACAAGTAAAAACAATCATAGATGGGTCATCTTACAGTCTAATGAATTCTGACTACGCTTGCTCATAAAGGTAAGGTTAATTTTTTCATTTTTCATTTTCAGAACACTGTTAACTTTCAGTCGGTCTGTCACCCAAACTGCCGTGTGCACATATATACATGTACTTTTTATAAAGAACTTCTTAAATCGTTTAAACAACCTATATCTACGTTACCCATCAATAAAAAAACTAGCTGTATGTCTGACATAAATGTCGCCTACTACACCTTAAAAGTTTCTCAAATCCACTAAAATGGCCACTCCAAAAACATATAAACCAACAACCAAGCAAACATTGCCCTTTTACGATAAGTACCATACGTCCTTGTGTACCTACAACTGTATACACACCAAAGCGAATTCACATCAAATTGAAGATCATGTAGAAATCTCCCAATCAGAAAGAGATCACTGACGTCACTGCTTAGGGATAAGTACTACCTTAGTTCACTCCTCATATGGTGTTGTATCGAAGTTGACCGAATGCTACCGGGCGCCCACACAAACGGCAGATGATTGTTTTACAATGAAAATGACTGACTTATACATGTTCTTTGGGGGAAAAAGTTCTGGCTGAAAATTACCAATAACTTGTATTCACTTTCCACAGTTTATAAACTATTACTCGTGATTTGTGTGTGAAGTAAGTGTAAAAATTAACCGAAGACTCAATCTGCTTCAATCAGTAGGCTTATTACGTACGACAACTTAACCAGACGTAACGTCATGTGATATCCATCTTAACTACCCGGATGTTAGTAGTTAGGGGGCTGGTCTTTCTCCTTGTAGTCTGGGGGAGCGGAAGCCTGCTGGGGGTAGTACATCCCTTGGGGCTGACCAGCCGAGTGCTCCAGTGGAATGAATTGCTGCCCACCAGCCTGAAAGACGACAATGATAACATTCGTTAAGATTGATTCAAGGGAGAACACGGTGCTAAGCCAGCTTTAACCGACGTCGCCAGCCGAGCAGTAGGTCATCGACCTTAAGGGTCACGTACCATATTGGATGTCCTGACGTCTGCTGTGTTGGGGTTAGTCAGGTCATTTTGCAGAAAAACCGCAGGGAACTGACACAAATGCGGGTTCAATGTCAATTACGGCTCAACAGTCAATTGCAGTACCGGGGTGACAGAAATGGCTGTGCACCAGGAACCAGTCCGTTCCTCATTAGGCCTACTTTGTACAGGTGACATTTGTCCCATATACCAACTCCAACACTTTGACTAATCCTAACCTGTATTAATCATATGGGTCCCCTGACTTCCATTACTAGGATCTCCATTTTTGTGACACCGGTGCCTTTAGTTTAGTAGCAGAGAATGGTGTTTTCGTAAGCATGCACTTAAATTACTATATTTTCCTAAGACGTACCAGTAACACAAGGTTATTTTTGATTGTTCCTATACCAATACAACAAAACTATAAAACAGAGGCTTAAGCGTCATCAATAAAGTATTCAAGCCACTTGTTAACGTCACGGTCTTATTGATTCCATACTGCTTACCCAGCAAACACATCACGTTGGTACCACGTGGTTAATCCATCGCTATGACGTTATAATGTGGTAGCAACATGCTAGCCACGTGGTCCGAACGTGACGTGTTTGCTGGGCATATCCTTCAGTCCATGCAGTTATATTATAACAGACAATGCATGTGTCCTTTTAATATATAACATGCGTTATTTTAAGAGGTGTATAACTAGGGTATATTTTAAGCAAATGTACGCGTAATTTCAGGCTAAGTTTTAGACGAGTTACACCACGTGTATGCCAGAGTCAGTGTAATAGCTTACCTGTTCTTCAGAAACTCCCAGCTCTCGGAAGTAGAAGCAGACACCGACCATTGCGTAGATCTAGAAGGCAATTAAATCAATATGATTGTCATATATTTGCTTTTCACTTGACAAATCATGTTTCATTAAAATGTAATCTAAGACATGCCACTGTAATGACTTATTGAACGAACGAACAAGCCCGAATGAATGAATGAATGGTTTTGCAGGAATTTTTAATGTTAAGTACTGGTGATTTTATGTGTCCAGGTAGTACGTTTTGAAGAGTCGTCAGGTGTCATCAGGTGCTGATTCTACACATATACATATACAGTGTATGTCCACCCACCAAAGCTGATATCTCAGTTTTAAGCAATTTGATCTAGTTTGAACTTTATTTCACAAAAATGAACAACTGATCTTTTTATGATATATGAGGGTATACACATGTAATTTGAATACACTGCGTCTATACTACGATGCATCATATACATGTTCAGTGCACTGTTGAAAGTTACTGATAAAATAGTGTGTGTGCGTGTGTGTGTGTGTGTGTGTGTGTGTGTGCGCGCGCGCGCGCGTGCGTGTTGTGTACAAGGTTAGAACAATGTATGTACAAAATACATGGTAGTAAAGACCAGGAAAGTTTACTTACGTTTAGTGCCAAGAAAATGGCCATAATTCCAAGAATGATGAAGAACACCAAAACAAAGCCTGAAATGTATAATTGAGAGTTTTACATTTCTGAATATGTTCAACAGGCTGTGTGTTGTCGCATGTAAGGTAGTGTTCATAAAATCTTTTAATTTGTAAAATTATAATCCAATATTGTACATAGAGAAAGATTTAAAGGAACCTCAGTCGACTTTCGGTAGATTTCACGTAAAACATGCCCCCCCCCCCCTCAAAGTGCATTATTGACTCACCAACTTTCAGAAAAGTTAAGACGATCCAAGCAACTTCAATCGCACTGATGATTGCCGTGACTATTACCCATGGTAAGAGCATCCCACGTACTTTCTGAAAAAAAAAATTAAATAGTAATGAAATATAATCGTACAGTGGACCATTTTTGTCTTAAATTTACTTTTATTTTATTTATGTGTTTATTTATTTATGTAACAGATTTTATTACTGTAAAGAAAAGACAACTTCATCCTACGAGATGTAAGAAGAGAAAGTCTTTTATTTTTATATAAATTACAGAGTTTACTAATTTAAATATTTAAATTAAACATTAAATTGATAATAACTAAATAATGAGGGTTAATAAAATAATATATAACTTAATACCATGCTTTCACTTACGGTGCACACCCCTACCATGGCGATAATACTGAAGATAAACCATGTATTTTATTTACGGTGCACACCCCTACCATGGCGATAATACTGAATATAAACCATGCATTCACTTACGGTGCACACCATGACAAAAAAACTGAAGATAAACCACGTATTTCACTTACGGTGCACACTCCCACCATGGCGATTATACTGAAGATAAACCACAGTCCATATAAGCCGGTGAAGGCGTACAATGGAATGGCAGGCAGTGTCACAAGCATTGAAGTGTCCATTCCTCCATCTCCAAAACCTTGCAGGTCTCGATAGGCCTGGTTAACCGTTTGTTTGGCTATTTCGACTGAAATATAGGCAAAGAATTAGCTCTTCGAAATATATACATATGTTTTCATGTAAGTATAAACTTCAAAAGCATACATTGCATAATGAGCGTTACACATACAGATAGCCTACCAGTAGTACTTGACATTAAAAATTCCTGCAAAACCATTCATTCATTCATTCGCGCTTGTTCGTTCGTTCAATTAGTCATTACAGTTGCATGTGTTAGATTACATTTTAATGAAACACCGGACCCTCTCTCTTCCTGTATGAGCAAGACTCGGTGTCCAAAACCGACAAACTGACAATTTCACAGTGTACCGGTAGTAGAACATTGTCGCAAAGTGTATCGCTCAATGTGCAAAGGACCTTGACAAAAATCGATTCTCTCTAAAAAGACACTGCTTCACAAGAAAAGAACATCGAATATCAAATGTTGAACCGTTAATTTATGTGATTGACCCTGTCGCCTAACCAAAACCTTGCCCTGGACCAATTCAACAGACATTTTCTCAAATTCACCAATTTACCAACACATAGAGGGGTAGATGATAGCGTGTTAAGTAACGATGACTTTACCAGGTCCTTACCCAAATAGATCACATATGCCATATAGGCGAGTACGATGCCCGACAAAATCTGAAAATAAAAGATATTATACAATTAGTTTGATGCCGTTAGGCCATATTCTGCATGGTTTAAATGAGATTTTATTTTCAACATCCAAGATAAATGCTTGAGAGTGATCCTACAGCGATATACACTATAATTTGTAATCACACTGTAATTCCAGATTAAAGCAACAAGCAACGTTCTTTTAATAATAATAATAATAATAATAATAATAATAATAATTATAATAATAATAATTTTATTATTATTATTATTATTATTATTATTATTATTATTATTATTATTATTATTATTATCCAGCGCATTCTTTTTTCTTATTTCAAAGCACTTTACATTTCTAACATAAAAAACTTGAGAATTACAGCAGTAAATTACAGACTTACTTTAGAGGTTTACATAATATAAAAGATTAAGAATTAAAACAACAAAATACAATTGTAACAATTGAAAATGTTTGACTGTATAAGCACATATATGTATTGGCAGCGCAATTGCTAAATAATTAATACTGTCGATGTGTTTCACCGATAGATGGCATTCTCAGTCGTAAATGAATTAGAGCCTTCCCTGCCACCCTAAACCCTTGAAACAAAGTAAAAGATTGCAATTTCATCTGAGAGAGAGAGAGAGAGAGAGAGAGGGATTTGAGAGATAAGGCTATATTGTATCGTATTTCCTTAGTTAAGCTTCAAAAAGAAAAATGATGTATTAACATGGAGCTTGTCTACTTATCTATGTAACTATTTATTTCCCGACTATCTCCCTGAGTTTTCCGCGAACCATGCTTATGACTAACAAATGCAAACGCTATTTTCAAGCACTTAAATAAAACCATTGCACAATCTATCTTGACTAAAGCCACGTTATCAGTTTTATTTTCACCTGTCGCGCGTCCAAGCAGGCCTGAAAATTGTACATTTAATCTTAGGCTCTTCTCACTTTGTGAAAATGAGCAATTTTCGCCACAGCTTCTTTAAGGGTTTTTTGTTTCTTGCATATCAACTAAACGGGAGATATGATAGCCTTACATGTACTGTATAAACGTATGCTTTATAATAAAAAGAAACATGGCTGCGGAGCCTTGAAGCATCTTTCCAACATAAGGAAGGACGTAAACAACGGAAACGTCACTACAACAATACATGATGTTATACATGTATATCCTATTTGTAATGCCAGGCCCGTAGCCAGGGGGGGGGGGTCGAGGGGGGGTTTCGAAAGAACTGCCCCTTTTGCTGGGATAAGGTCCACTCTGGGTAACATTTGCTCTAGGTTCATGAAGTTTTTATGGAAAAAGGTCCACTTTTCCAGAAAAAGAACCCCCCTTTTAAAATTGTTGACTACGGGCCTGAATGCCCACATTTGTCACCCTGATGTTCATAAGTTGGCTTATCGCGTATAACAAGCATTCAGTCGCCGTCACCGTTTGGTGTACTGGCCGAAAGAGGCCCTGCAACGCAGGGTATCCTGCAACCTAGCTGGGAATCGCCTTCCGCGTCCAAGCTCATATCAGTATTACTTTTCACGTTGTGGTTGATGGATAGCTTTCATACTGTAGACTTGTTATCGATTACTTCTTCTCACTTGAGATTGACATAGTACTTGCCTGGACAAAATGAAGAATAATGAACCAACTGAAGCGTTATTGCAAAACCTGGTAGACCTTCTTCACGGAGTTATCTGTGGTTACGAATCAGATTCGTTTTTTTATTCACACACGAGATTTTTTTTCACATACGAGAATGGCTTAACATTATGCAACTGTGGCATTTTTCTTATGGTGTTGTGTTTTATATGCAAGATGCAAGAAACGCATTTGCGTATTTTTTATAATTACCATTACACTGACGAACAGACAGATTTTGGATCCACTTCAACCAAAAAAACTAACCCTTATGTGCTTCACAGACTTGAATGAAATTTCAATTAGTTTGAGCCTAGATTAAATTTGAAATGCGACGCCTGTGCGGTGCATGTATACTGCCCGTCATACCCTTTCGTACGGCGCCTGAGCGGAGGTAGAAGGTGGCCGTGCGAAATCGCACGGATTTAAGGCCATGTAATGTAGACACACTCGGCGTAGCCCGTAGCTCCTTACAATTTCAAAAAAAAAATCGTACGGACAATTTCATCGCACGGCGCCCGTGTAAATGTAATCCTAAGTTTTACCTTTTCATATATAATACACAGTTTACTTTACAAACCACATTCAATGAGAAATGGGCAAGATCACAAAGGGATTTCGGAGTGTGGAATTGCAATCAAGCGCCTGATCCTTAAGCCAACACAGTGACTCGCCAGCTGTGTTATAGGTGTGATAGGTGTGTAGTTCTAGGAATGGAAATTTGGGGTCCCCTATGATTACACTACTACATGTTAGGGTAAGCCACTGTGACAGGAATGGTAGTCCGCTAGGTACCGTAGTCCGTTCCCCATTATTTTGTACAGGTGATATTCGTGCCATATATTAACCCCAATACTTTGACTGACCCTAACCTGTATTAATCAAATGGGACCCCGGACTTCCATTCTTAGGACTATCATTTTTTTCTGTCACGCCGGACCTTGGCGGTTGGCATAAGGGGCGAACGTCTCCTGCACTGTAATAGAAGTAATAGGGAACGAAGGACATTTCTTTGCTAGCACACTGCCATTTACGTCCCAACCGTTGTCGGAATGGCCGCGCAGATCGTTGCTGTACGTTCTCTGTAATTGCTCGACTCCAGGGAATTGGAGGTCAATTTATACGGCCATTTGTGTCAGAAAGATACGAAAGACATCGACCTTTTTTCTTACTGCGTTCTTACTGCTACAGGCAACAATCCGAGGTTCCAATCGAATCTTAGAAATAATTGCTGAAATATGGCGGAGGTCAAGCCATAACGAGACGACTAAACGCCATGTCCTAGGTCTGAGGGATATCAGCATTTTTTTATTGCATGGGACTTGGGCTGGAAAACAATAACTAGCCATAAATCCCAGTGGTACAGGGTGCATTCCAAGTAGGTTCGAAAACACCATTTGGGACTGCGCTTTGCAAGAACACATCCAATGATTCGAGAATCTTTACGCGTCTCTTATTTTCAGAGTCTATGGATCCATAACGGCCGCTACAACAACAAAAAAAGGGTGACTTGTTTCATTGGAATTTGAAGACAACCATAAATATTAGGGTATTTTTTTCGTTGAACTTGCTTATGTGTGCAGGGCACCATTGCCTAAATCTTGGATATTTCTTCTATTGGACCCCCCCCCCCCAAGTCGGCGTCTGCAAAATGACATCTGCAATAAGAGTCTCTCTGAAAAGCATTGCACACACTCTTGTGTGTCCCTTGATGTTTGCCGTCGCGTGCCTGGAAGAATTTTCACTTTAATCGATCGATTGCCGTTTCAGTAATCAGCATATTTTCTGGTGTTTTGGCAGTCTATGTCTTAAGTTCTAATATGATGTTTTATGTTTTATATAAAAACCGCCCTGGGTGTCTAAATGAGAGACGTTTAGGGAAACTAACAATGTTTAGCCTTATCGTATCAATATGTCTTCAGGTGCACTTGCAGAACTACTTAACGATATTATATTTCTTCGCATTCTCATAACTCAACCACAGAAAATGTCAATCTCAAAAATCAAAACATTTTCCACGCGATCTTTTGACAATGTAGCAACATTGTAACCATAAGATTTATCAAATAAGTGCGGTTTGGCGCCAGCTGGTATAAACCCTCTTCGATGCGACTTGCTTCAATTCACGACGCTTGCACCACATGCCTACATGACGTCATGTTTACGCCACACAAGTGACGTCACACCAATAGCCACAGCACAGGGAGAGCGGGACGATTTTGACAGGTCGCGTTACTACCGTCTTGTAGATGTACATTTGTTCTGAATTCTTAAAAGATAAATGACTTTCATAAATTTCTGCAGATAAATTTCCAAAATTTAAATACTATCTAGATCAAGACAGTGAGGTGGAACATCATGGCAAGATGCACGTTATGTTTTGCAATCTCTTGTACAGTGCATTATGAATATGCCTACCTGATGTTGCTAGAAAACAGAGACAGAGGAATCAAATTACAATTGATAATCAAAATTTCAAATAATTTGTGGTACAAATTGAAAGAAACATGAATGAGAGGATGCTTGCGTTTTAGAGTCAACAGCTCTGAAACAGAGGGTTACTGAACTAAAATACGTCATGAAATTCCACCAAAAAGTCTGTGTCAGTTTACTTATTGGTGGAAACCACCATCAGAGTACAAATAACCTGAATAACCAACCAGACCGGTCATTACAAAATTGGACCAATAAATGTAAACTCGGCGGTTTTAACGAAGTTTCTCACTGCAGCTGACGGTTGATTACCCCAAGCGGCGTATATAAATGATGGATAGCACAGCACCGGCAACTTAACGACGGTAAATATGATGGGATAACTTTATTGAAAATGACTCGTTGCTTCTGTATACATTATTCCTGACGTGTAACTTGGATGGGATCAATAACTTTACGTGTTTTCATATTTGACGCCTCAATGGACGCTCTACTCCCTCAGCATGACGTGGAGATGGCGATGCAAATTTGTCGAAAAACACACACAAAGGCATAAAGACATAGATACAGTAATGTTAACAGATAAATCGTATATTGGTATATATCACAATATTAGCAAACATTTAACATTAGTGGGTTCGTTGTTAATCACTTAAGATATAATTAAAGTATAATTTAAAATATTTAATAAGGCAGGAATACATGCATCAAAGTTCGCCACTGTGTCCCGTAACTTCTTTTCTATCCTCTTTGACAAACGCTGTTTTTAAGTTTATTAACAGTGTGTCATGGCCCAAAGTACTGTCCTGCCAGTGAGTCAGTTCTTGCATCAGAAGGACAAAGTATACGATCATTTTTTCTAAAAGAATCGTGGCATGAACAGAGTTAGCATTCATCCGAAATATCGTTTTCGTGTAATTGCAACATGGTAAATGTGAACGAAAAATAA